ATGGTGGTAATAAAACTATATGATGGTAACTAGATTATATGAAAAGTGGTAGGTGGATTATATGGTGGTAATTAAAATTATATGATGGTGGTAACTAGATTATATAAAGTGGTAGTTAAATTATAATAAAAGTGGTAGGTGGATTATATGATGGTAATTAAGTTATATGATGGTGGTAATTAGATTATATAAAGTGGTAGTATTTTAGATTATATGGTGGGAGTGAGCCAGAATTGGGGTTTTCATACTACTTGGTGTTCACCATATATTTTAGGAATGTCTGATGGAAAATGAGATTTTTCTAATATTTTAATATAAATAATATCAGAGAAACGTGGTGACCAAAAAGAAGCCCATTGATTTTTACATTGTAAAGATCGGTTATTACATTTGATGATTTTTGGTCGTGAAAAAGCTTGTGAAGTTGAAGGATTATTGTCAAGTATGGTGAATTGTAAACGGTTTGTAACGTCATTTAATACAATATTATTCTTTAGAAAGTCGTACCATTTTGGTCATCGCCCGCTTTTAGATTTCAATGTCTTTTTGATCTCTTTCCAAGTTTTAAGGAACGCTCCATCATTACTAATAATTTGATCAAGAAAAAAAATGTCTTTGTTTTTAAGTGATTTTAAAAATTTAAAATAATTTTTTGGATCAGCTATAAAATAGCTGATAGGGTGTGAACCTCCTGTGACATTGTATTTAGTAGTATGGATGAAAGAAAGTTTGTAATAATGAAAAATACATAATAAATTTTCTAATCTATTAAATAGTTTCATAGGTTTATGAAAGTATTTAGTTGTTTCACTAATATTATTAGTCCAAAGTCTATTCTGTGATGTTAAAATTAAAAATTGAATTAAAGGAGATGTTATGGGATTATTAATTTGAGCGTTTAATAAAGAGGCTTGTGATCTTAACTGTGAATCCCAAATATTTAAAATGTTCGGGTAAATTGGATTATGGATAACAGAATTGAAAAAGGATTTTGGTAAAGATAAGGAGTGTTTATAAATTGATCTAATGATTTTATTAAAATCATTGATAATATGTGGTGGGACAAAAATATGCTGCGTTAAATATTCTATCCTTGGTAAAAGAACTTTGTTAACTATATATATCACATGATCATGAGTGATTTTTTTCTTTCGTAAATTATAACAAATATAGTGTAACATTTTTTTAATTTTTTTATAAGTAAATGACGGTGAATTATTAATATTTACGTATATGCCCAGTATACGTTCATTATTCTGTTTTGGTATTATTTCTATATTAATCGTGTCACTTCCGAATTCAAATGGATATTGTTTGTTATCATTTTTCAGTAATTCCACATCGTTTGTTAATAATTTTGTTTTTTCTTTGTTGATTTTAATATTAGCCAAAGAATAAAAATCATCTGCAATTGCTAAGTTCGCTTTCAAATCTTCAAAATTGTTTGAGAACCAAGTGGTATCGTCCAGATATCCAATAAGTTTTAATTCTAGATGTTCTTCATGATTATCATCTTTTCTATAAATATTTGTAGGCAGCGAAGCGTGTAATTTATATCCTTGATGCGGAGAATTATTAATTGCTGTAAACATAGGATCGTAATATATTACCCAAAGAAGTGGTGAAATGATCTCGCCTTGAATGATACCTTGTTTTAATTCATAAGGATCAGAAAGTGTATCTGCGAGTATAATTCTATTATTGTATCCAATGAATAAATTTTCTATGAATTTGATTATATTACTAGGAATATTGATTCTTTTTAACGCTAAAGACAATAATGAAATGTCTATTCTATCATACGCCTTACTAAGGTCTTGGAGTACCAAGTATAGAGGATTATTAGTGTCTTTTTGGTGTTCAATTATTGATTGGATATATAAAATAATTTCATTGCATGAAGCTCCTTGAACGCCAGCTTGATTATTATGTTGAAGAATGCTATTGGTACTTAAATAAAAATTTAAACGTGAATTAATAATTTTAACTAAGAGTTTGCGAAAGCAATCTAATAGTATAATAGGGCGTGTATGATTAATATCATAATTCCACCAAGTAGGTTTAGGTATGGGGTAAAGAAAGGCCAATTTAAACTGTTGTGGGATAACTTTATTAATAAGGATATAATTAAAAAGAGATAAAATAACTTCTAAAATTTGTAAAGGTAATTGTTTAATAATTTCATAAGTTATTTTGTTTGGACCAGGTGCTTTTTTTGATGGTAAGTCTTTAATTGCTTCTTGTAACTCATCCATCGTAATCAATCTATTTAATTTATTGATATTTTCATGTGATGTAATATTAATTGGTCTATATATGGAATTCCATGGTTCATGTAGAGGTATTGTTGCGTTATAAGATAATGGTGATGGGGTAACTTTACCAATATCACGATAATGATCTATCGCCCATTCTTCTATTTCATCTTTATTTGTTGTAAAGGTTGTAATGTTATGTTCATCTTGAAAAATTAATTTATTCATGTTGATTTTCTCTGGTACGCGGTCCAATAATGACGTTAACATCCTTTTTTGGTTGAGACGTAAATCTTCATCTCTTCTATTAATAAATTTTTCTATTTTATTTTTTTGAAATTGACTAATTTGTAGATTTAATGAATTATGAAGATAGGTTTTAATTTTAGTTAAAGTGTCTAAAATATGTGAATAATAAGGAGCGATAATAAATTTTGGCCAAATTACATCTTGTGGGTTAATTGATAAATTTGGAAGATCTAAATTTGAAACGATTCTTTTTAATCTATTTAAGCTTTTAGGACTATCCCAAAATTTTGTAGAAGGAAAAATATTATTTGATATATATATTTTAGGTTTAAAATAATTTTCTAATTTCATAATGAGTGAATTAATATAATAATAATCATTTTCTAAAATTCTAATAGAAAAGGAATATGTGTATTGATGAGTATTTTGTTTAATTATAGGGAAACCTATAGCGTTAATAGCTTTGTGAATACTTTGTACAATATTTTCAAAAACTATATTAACGTGTTTTTGAGGGTTATGGTGTGTCTGGGAGCGTGTCGATATTGATTGAAAATTGTTCCATACAAAGTTTTTGAAATCTACCCACTTCTCTTTAGATATTTTGCTATAATTATATCTTTCATTATGGGAAAGAGAGTTTTTGTTACACATTTCAATTTCGTTAAAGGACGTGTTAATAGTGTTTTGATTTGGGGAATAAAAAAATTTATTATTCACAGTAATCACTATTAATCAATGATCAGTATGAACAGGTTCAGCAGCTATAGAACCATAAATACATTGTGATATAAAATTTGGTGAAACAAAAATAATATCTATGTAAGAAGTATTTTCAGAAGTATTTTTAAAGGTAAAAGAAGGTGTTTCATTAAAAAATTTAACAATATCTTTAAATTGATTATTTTTTAGGATAGTTAAAATGACTTTATGATAATGTGCTAAAGTCACGTGATTAGAAATAGAAGGGTCATCTGATTGAAGATTTGTAAAAGTTGAATTTGGTTTATGAGGATTTATATTAAAATCACCCATGATTAACGTTTTTTTGTAATTATTTTTTAACAAAAAATATTTGTTAAGATAAGAAATAATGTTTTTCAAAGTAGATTCATTATTTTTAGAAGACGTTATTGGTGGTAAATATAACCCTATTATGTGTAATTGTTCGTGTCTCTTAAAAAAAAAGGTAACATGAAGGAGGCGACCAGGAACATGATCGATTTTCTGAATGTGTTTGTATAGAAGAGAAGAGATAATACATGAAACACCACTGGCAGAATGATCTTTCGAGGGGTTGTGTATGATATAAAAATTTGATAATGTTTTATTCTTTGTAGGGTACGTTAATTTGATAGGGGTTAATCGTTTTGTTGATTCATTTTTAGGATCTTTTAAGTGAGTTTCTGTCAATAATAAGAAATGAATATCAGCTTGAATCATATAAGATAATAATTGTCTTTTTTTCTTTTCAAATGATCCTTGTAAATTCAATGTAGCGAAATTAATATTTGAATAAGAATTAAAAGGAGAAAAATAAGAGAAATCATTTTTTTGATTTTTATGATTATTATATTTTTTTGGGGGTTTTCTATATTTTGTTGATTAGTTTGAGAATTTGAAAAAGAAGAAAATGAAGAAATAGAAAAATTAGAATCAGAGATCAGTTTTCGAGACTGATCAGTATTATTAGAATTGTTGTCCATCATTAATCCACCCTGATAGTTTTGAGAGATATATACTTGTTGAAGAGTGATTTAACAAACAAAGGATTTTATATATCCTGTAAATCCTGTATTTTGATCTTGAGTCAGGTTATCGTTATTTTGTTCGTGATCATTTTGTTCATTACCATATTGACTTAGGCGATCCTCTAGTGAAATGTCTTCAGTCTCATTAATGTAAGGCGTAGAAGAAGGCGTGTGTAGGGATGATGCTGAGGAGGCGTAAGTATCATCCCACCCATCATTTGTTTGTGAAGTAGCGTCATAAAACTTATTATTGATTAAATCATGATGGCTATTATTATAGTTATGGAATTGGTATGATTGGTTTTTTGGCGTATTGTATGATTGATATGTTGGCGTAGTTCTACCTTCTCTGGAATTTTGTCAAGGTTGATTCGACTGCATCTGAGGATTTAAATTTTGTTCGGGAATATATTGTATCTGTAATTGTTGTTCTTGGTTTTGGTGTTCTTGATGATACTGTTGTGGTTGTCCTTTGACGGCTATTAAAATTTCTTTGAGTTGAGCGTCTTTCACTAACTTTCTTTCTGACATGTGTTGTTGAAAGCCAACCATTTTATCCATGGATTCTTTGACGTAGTTATTGTGTGCGGAAACTTCTTTCGCAAAAACTTTAAGTTGTTCAATTTCTCTTTTTTGGTCATCTACCTGTTTTTCCAGATCTTTGATCATTTTTTCAGCCCATTTCATTTTGTCATTTAAGGTAGCGATTTCTAAAGTGAATTTAGATGAGTTTGAATCATTGATATTATTATTAATGATTGAATGACTATTGACGTTTTGTCTAGGGTGTGGGGTATTATTGGGTTGATTATAATTAATCATTTGACGTTGGGCCCATTGCTGTTGTTGGTTTAAGGAATTTTTGTTATTTGATTGATTAGGTTTGGTTGATACTTTTGGGGTTTTTTGTTTATTGAAGTCTTCATTGATTTTCATTATGGATCCATAATTGTCTGAAATACTTTTGCTAACCACTATCTTTGTAGTATTTCGAGGAATATTAATCGGTTTGAAGAATTTTTGACCATTAGGTGTAACAGTATGTTCGGTAGTGCAATCTTGTATCATGTGTTCTGGTGAGCTGCATTGTATGCAAGTCTTGACTTTGTTGTCAAGTGGAATGATATATAACGATGTATTGAATGCTGTGATTTTCTTGATTTTGTTTTCAAAATTTTTTGGATCGACCATAACATATGCCGTTTTAGAACAATATCTAGATCTTGCTTTGGGTATTGAGCAAGTTTCTCCATTTATGAAGGATAAGATTTTAGTCATATCTTTAACGTTAGTATTGTTAGGTAAGCCGGTTATTCTATATCCTTTAGACGTACGTTGGATATAGGCTTCATGATTATTATTAGTAGGTAATATCTTGATATTGAAATCTTCTATATTGAGTGACCATCCTTTTTCAATTAGGTATTTGGCACCTGCTGCTGTTCTAAATTCGATATATACAGTTTTATATTGTGGTTGTTTAGGTGCAAATCGACCATTTCTACGACCTTGGTTATTATTTCTATATCGTTTCATTTCAAATTCAAAATTCTGTATCAATTTCTTTTCATTCGAGTGGAAATTTTTTATTTCTTTTCCCGTTATATTGATTATGTTTTTTAAAAGAGCTTCTGTCTCATAAAAGATTGGAACGTCTGTGAGTTTGACTGAATTTTTTGCTTGATTTTCAACATCTCTTTGTATGTATGCTTCGATATTTGAGGAATCATATGGATGTATAATAGCATTTAATATTAGATGACGTTTAGAAACGTATTTGTCAAAAATTTCTTTTCTAGAAAATTCGATTATGAATACTGTAAGGTATTGATGGTTTTCCCATTTAATGCGAATGATATCATTAATATGGTTGGAAAATGCGTCCCTTATTTTTTTTCTAATCTCGAAGTTACTTCCTTCATTCGGAAATTGATCTTTTGCTATGAAAACTGAAAAAGATTCTGTGGCTGTGTTTTGTGTTTCAGAGTCGTTGTAGTCTATTTGTTCTATTTGTAATGTCTCCTTATCTTTTCCTTTAATAGGATTAGAATTATTTTGTTGATCACTTGGAATGGAAATAATTACTTTATCTGTTTCCATTGGTTCATTTGTAGATCTTGTATTTGAGTCATGTGATATAGGTGTATGAGACGAAGAAGAATTATTTTCAAATTCTACTTCCATGGCTTCAGTATTATCTGAGGCTTCTATATTTCTGATTTTATTGGGTCTATCGTTATTTTCGTTCATTGTGTTATTTTGTGTATCTTTGTTAACAGAATAAACTTCTTTAACGATTTCAGTATCGTCTAACGTTCTTTTATCAGTTGCTTTTGCCTTGGAACGTGTAGTGATATTTGACATAATAAAAATGTGCTAAAATGGCTGTTATTTATATCAAAAGTAAAGCTTTTTGAGCCGAGAAATGTGTTTTTGTAATAAAATTTATGGGTTAAAAATATAGTTAACAAATAAAATCAATATTTTCTTTCGCTAAATTTTTGGTCAAAGCAATCGGCAGAAAAAGCTCATTTTTTTACATAAACATTAATTTTATTAAGATCAAAATTCAAATGATCGTCACTGATATCACGTGATTATATTTTTTGTTTATTTGTTTATTGTTTACGTGATAGCTGTAAAAAAATCTTTTCCCCTTTTTTCCCTTTTTTTTCAAAAGTACAAACTAACACATAATAAACTCTTTTAACTCAGTTTTTATTACTTGTTCTTGTAAAGTTATAATATTTTATATAATATATAGTACCTTAATTTCTTCTTTTTACTTTTGTATTTTTATTTTCTAGTTTTGAAGCGTAATTTCACACATAATCTCACCACTTTGGCCAAATGAAGCTATCTTTTATGAAGCAAAGTTGTCCAGCAATGTTAAATTATACTTATTTCATATGCATAGGTATGATAATTATAGAGGAAATCATGATTTTTAATAATAGTACTGGTTTTCAAAATTTTCATTTTTCTGTTTTAAACTTCAGAGCGTAATTTCACCACTTTCACCAAATGAAATTACCCTTTTGTGCTTAAGTAAAGTTGTTCAATGAGGTCGAAATTACTTGTAATTTAGATTTTCATAAGTGTAGGTACAATATTCATAGAGTAAGTTGCATTTTTTAATTGAATACTAATTTTTAAATTTTACTTTTCTATTTTCCAACTTTAGAACGTAAGTTCATCACTTTATTCAAATGAAACTACTCTTTCATGCTTAAGTAAAATTATTCAGCAAGGTTAAAATTACTTGTATCTTAATTTTAATGAAAGTAGATTATAATATTAGTGGAGGCATATCGTATTAATTGATTAATTTATAATAAAGTTATTTTTTTTATAATATAATAAATAGTCTATGATTTTTATTGTTATGCTTTTAATTTGAATAAATAAATAATACTGCTAAAAAAACTATAAAGTAAATCATATAAACAAATTACTTATTTATAAATAATCAAAATTTGGACAAATGACGGACAAATATATGGCAAAAACCGGACAAATTCCTTATTTATGAATGTCCGGAATATTGCAATATTCCGGATGTTTATAGATCCTGTTTTTGTCTGGAAAATATAGGCGGACGATTTCTGAACAAAAACTGGACATTTTTTTTTTATAGGGCTATGACAATTTTACCTCAGCTTTATGTATTAACAAAATGAAATTTAACAAAGTATATTAATATATTATGGATAAAATTGTCTCTTTATGATATAATTCCATATTGAACCATCTAATATGATGTTGAATTTAGCGCTCTTTTATTGGACATAATTGTATATTCGTTAGAATTTATGAGGTTGTTGGTGAGTAAAACAAAGTTTACATTATAGCTTGCAAAAATTAAAAAAAAGACGTCCTTGAAGATTTAAATAATGATGAAAAAGTATAATACCTTTAATTATTAATAAATTAACTGTTAAGCGCACCTTATATTAAAACTTGATTTCTATTCCTATTATTCTAATTGACACTGTTACTTGGACTGTTTGGAATATTATTTCATTTTTGTAAGTAAAGCTTGTTAATAGTATTAATATGACGTGATTTCTATATAAACTTTTTCTCAAAATATATATAATTTATAACTAAAATTTGACTTCCTTCCTTACTTATTAATGAAATGATTTCACTTTAGAAAAGCAGCTGAGTTTAATAGTTGACTAACGCATATCCTCTATCAGATACATAAAATCTAAATCATTTCGAAGTTAACATGACGATTAATTCAGATATAAAAAAATTTTAATTTTGTTTGATACGCAAATTGTATTTAAAGTAATAAGAATTATTATTTTTTTTTTTTTTGTATTTTTTCCTCAATATTTACTATTCAGTAACTGCACGATTTTTTCAGGACCGGAATTATGATAATTTTAGGCAAGTTACTAGAAATGTTGCAAGTTCTCGGCTGGGATTACCCATAAAAGGAAAGATAAACATGATTAATTTTGATTCGTTGTACGCAAACTCTTATTTCGGGTCCTATAGATTTTTCTAATAGAGGATTACAAATTATATCATTTTAGTGTTTGTATTATTTTGTAAAAAAGTTTTTTTTTTTTCTTAGTGTAATATTTTTCATAATTTAAATTGTCAATAAATCAAATAACCAGAATAATGGTTTACAAAAATTTTTATCAATTTAACTCGCGTCATTTCATACATACCATAATTGTATATCCGTTAGAATTTATGAGGTTGTTGATAAGTAAAATAAAGTTTACATTATAACTTGCGGCAATTCGGAAATTTATAAATTTGAATGAATCAATTTATGAATATAAAAGTTTCGAATTCTTTTAGTTATAGGTATATTAATGAAGGGAAAAAAACCTTGATATTCCTAAACCTCCCATGAAATTACCTATATTAATTTCGAAGTGTATACTATTTCTATACCTTGATTTTTTTTATTAACTTTATTTAAGTGATTTTAGTACAAAGAGAAAAAAAATTTTTTCATCGTAACTGTATTACAGTATTTGCAATTATAATTTTTTCAGAATATTAAAAGATAATAATTTTTATACACTCGTTGAAATTTTGTCTACTACATAATTAAACATCCTTTAGAAGCATTATAAAATGCCTCAAGTTCTGGCTCATTTTCCAACCTTTTTAGTGCATCTTCATTATTTTTTACATATTCGCTAATATTTTCACGTAATTTATCCCACGTTTTTAATTTGAAGTACTTATTTTTCTTTACCGGATCTACTCCTTCCAGATATTCTAGTAGTTTTTGTCTTGACTTTTGTCTGTTATTCTTATTCATTTTAATAATTTGGGCAACATCATCATCATCATCATAAAAATCACTATTTATCGGAGGATTGTCTACATGAATGACATCATTGCATTTTCTAACTATTTTAGCAATATTTTCGTCCCCCTCAAGCAATTTTTCTTTATCTCTTTTACATTCTTCCGTTCTTTTAAAGTTGTCAAATTTAGTTCTCACAAGAGTAACATAACCAAAAATATTAATTTTATCTTGTAAAATGGAATCTTCGAACATATTAAACGTACTTATTTCTTCTCCTGTAATCCTTCCATCAACTACATATAGCATTTGACTTATGCCTTCTGGCATTGCATAAATTCCATCTACTATTTTGTACAAAATATCCTTTAAACTTAGCTTAGTGTCACCAGCTCCAATAGTATCAACTACGCGAAAATTTATCTCATTCCATTTAAATTCTTTTTTCCTGAAAATTTTAGTCTCACTAACCGCGTACGCGCTTTCTTTGAATTCATCAGTGTTAGTTAGTACATTGGCTAATGTGGATTTACCACCACCGGCGCGACCAACTATTAATATATTCTTAACATTTTCTTTTTTTCGAGTAATAGCCACGCCAGGAATTTTCTTTTCTTCAAGTTCGGGGCAATAACTTATGTCAAGACCAGTTAATTTACTATTAGAACAATTAATAGATTCTAATTTTAAACAGTTGCTTATATCTAGATTTTTTAGGTTTTTGTTATTAGAGCAATCAAGTTTGGTAATATACGGACAAAGATTAAGACTTAATTCTTTAATTGAAGTATTTGAACAATTGAGCTCAGTAAGATCACTAACTTCCAGATCAGTTATTTCACTATTAGAACAATCAAGCTTGGTCAATTTTAGGCAGTCAATTACAGATAAACTCGTAAGTTTAGGAAGTTTTGAACAACCAAATTTTTCAAGCCGATAACAGCCACTTATTTTCAAACTAGTTAACTCAGTTGATGAACAATCAAGATTAGATAGATTTGAACAGTCAATTACAGATAAACTCGTAATTTTAGGAAGTTTTGACAAATCAACCTCATTAAGTTGAGAACAACCATTTATTTCCAAAATAGTAAAGCCAGTTTCTAAACAATCAAGCGTGGATAGATTTGAATAACCTCTCGCATATAAAGACTTAGTCTTAGTCTTAGACCTGTCAATAATCTTATTAAGTTGAGGACAATTAATTATTTTCAAACTAGATAACTTAGTTGACGAACAATCGAGTCCGGTCAGTTTTTGACAGTCAGTTAAAGATAAACTCGTGAGTTTGGTGAGCTCTGATAAGTCAATCTTATCAAGTTGAGAACAACCACTAATTTCCAATTTGTTTAATTCAAAATTCTTCAAAATAATACTTTTTAACTTTGTAAAGTCTTTTATTTCCAAAAAACCTTTAAGCTTTAAATTTTTGCTTTCAGAAATATCTATATTTTCCTTTTTCGAATATGTTTCGTTAAACCATTGTTGAGCTCTATTGTTTGTTTTAATACCGGTAGAGACTAAATAATATATATCAGTAGAAACTTATTAGTAAAATTATTTGATGCTAATTAATATCATTAAATTTACTTACTAGTGATATCAGCTTTTTCCAATTTAGCAGCGAAATTCTTATTTGATTCAGTAGAATTAATCTTACTATGTAAATCATCCCATTTTACTAATTTGTAATATTTTTCCCGACATACATCTTCTAAGTAGTTTAGTAATATATTTTTTGACTCTTCCCTTGCATTTCTATTAACAGCAATTTTATAACCACTATCATCATAAATATATGTCGGAGGATTATCTATGTGGATGATGTTATTACACGACTTAACTATTTTAATGATTATTTCATTTTCTTCAAACACATTTTTTATATCCTTTTCACACTCGTTTTTATTTCTAAAATTTTCAAATTTATTTCTAACAATCGTAACATATTCGAGAATACCAGATTCAAAAATAATTTTTTTGTACAACTCTAACACTTGTTTTTCTTCCGTCGTAAAGCTTTTGTCAACCACAAATAAGACTTGGCTTATCCCTTCTGGCATCAATTCTATTATTTCATTATAAAAATCTTTCTTTTTAATTAACCCAACTCCAATTTCAATCACGTAATATTTCGTTCCTTTACATTCGAAATCTTTTTTCAGTAAATTTTCAGTCTCGTTAATTGTATTTCCGTTTTCTTTAAAACCATCTGTATCACATAACACACTGGACAATGTTGTTTTACCACTTAAAGTACGGCCGATTATTAGTAAATTCCTAATTTCTAAGAACATGTAATAAATTAACATAATTAATAATAAAAATCATTGTTCTTAATTATATCATACTTACTTAGGAAATTGGTAGAAATATGAAAGCCATAACTACTATTGTGAGTATTATCAACACTCGGAATAGTTTCTTCGTGTTGCGGAGACAGTAGATAAGAAAAATCCTTAGTACTTAATTGACTTAAGATTCTATACACTTCTGAAGTATCGGGTCTTGACTTTGGTTCACCATTCCAACATTTTTCATAAAGTTGTCGATACTCTTGAGGTGTATTCTCAATTGGTTCTTCTCTAAGATTTTCAAATCTAATACGATAAGTTAACATCTTATCTTCTAAATAATTAGAAAAAGGAGGACGTCCACTTGAAATTTCCCATAATAAAACTCCTAAACTATAGATATCGGACTTTTTATCTTTTTTATAATATTTTTTATTGCTAAAGCACAGTGGTTCGATATATCCAATTATCCCCATTATATTAGCTACAGAACCAGTATTAGCATCTACCAACTTTTTGGATAATCCAAAATCTGCAATTAACAATTTTCCATTATTCACTAATATATTCTTTGAGTGCTATAAAATGATTGACAGTATTTATTGGTTATCATCAAGACAAAAATCATAACAAAATACTGTATTATAGTAATTATTACTTTACCAAGTCTCTATGAATTATTTCTTTGGAGTGTAAAAATTCTAATCCGCTAGTAATATCCAATGCCATCTTAATTTTATTATTCCAATTCAAAGAAGCAAATTTTTCTTTCAAATAATCCATTAAATTTCCATTATTGGCATATTCCAACACCAAAATGTAATCCTTGGAATCTATTAATTTTAAATATAAATAAGTTAGATTGAACTGTATAATAAACTATTTAAAAAAATTCTTAACACAAACCTTTCGTTATTCCCAGCAAACAATCGATGTTTGGATGAGAACCAACCTCGTGAAGAAGGTTTAACTAAAAAAAAAAAGATAAAATAAAATTAATTTATTTTATTATATAAATATACAAGCTAATATTGTACAACATAAAAAGTGATTCCTACCTCATTGGTAAATTCATCATCGGCTTCATTTATTTCCTCTTTTGAACTTTTATTAATAATAACTTTTAGTGCAACCAATTTCATATTAGCTGTGCTCGCCTTAAATACTTGACCAAATTTTCCACTACCAATTTCAGTGATTTCACTAAATTCATCATATTCAAAATAAGGAATAGACCCATTCGTTATTTTTTCCTCAATCCATTCTTTTATTAATTTCATTTTACCTTCTAAGTTATAATAGTGAAAACATTTATTTTTATTTTATTTCATATGTTTATTTTATTTTTTTAAAAGAAAAATTTTATTCAGCGTTATGAATTATGGGGGTATTTTATTTATTTTAAATAGCCTTTAATGCATTATGATGCAATTGATGCATGCACAGATGATGCATTTGTATATTTGAGGCTACAACGTACAGACGTACAGTGTGTAACGAAAAAAACTGCGGTTAGAAAAAATTTGGATCACAATCATTATTATTGAATTCATATGAAAGCTATCGATTATAATATTAAATAATAAAAATCACTAAGAAGTGTTATATTAAATTTTTATAAACTAATTTGTGTATACATATTTTTTTATTTTTATTTTTTTTAAAAAAAATGAATTTTAACTACCGTAGTAAAATTATTTAAGTAGAATATCTTAATAACTAGTAATTCAAATTGGGTAAAATTTTTAATATGCTATAGAATAGGTATTTTAAAGTATTAAAAAAGCAAAATTTGAGATTATTTCATGGTTATATAAAGATAAAAAACCGTGACGCAGAATCAATATAATTTTCAAAATTTTGCAGATCATGCAATATCGACCAAAAAAGTATATTTTTGAACTAGGGTGGCGTCAGGAGTTAAGTTGGCACGGCCTTTAATATTTTTTCAGTTAATGTTATTTATTGTGAGTTTGTATTTATGTTTTTGTTTGTAATAATGTAGAATATATTAAGAAAAAGAATCTGTTTATGGATTTTTTTCGCTTTATTATCAATTCTCTCATCCGCTTTTAAGTATCTACATTTTATATTAAATTTGTCAACAACATATCCCTTTCCAACAAATTCATTAACATTAAATTTGATATTTTTAAATAAATCATCATCATCCTGTACTTGTCTTATAACGTAACCAATGAGAAAAACAAAGATTGAACTAATCGTCAAATGATCACATATTTGTGGAGTTATAATTATATTTGTATACATTTTTTTATATTTCTTTGTTTATATATTACGCGTTTTTATATTTATTTAGGTGTTATTTATTATACTTATTTTATTAAGAGATATGCGTTTTATTTTATTAATAAATAAGCAGACATAAATTTCAATGTAAAGTTATCACTTTTTTTTATCAATAAAGCATTGTTTTTATTGTTTCATAAAGTAAATAATTTTTTTTTATTAAATTTAAAAACATAAAATTTCAAAAGCATGAAATCAATAATTTTATACTTTAAAATATGAAAATTTAATTTTCTTAATACTTTAAAGCAATTAAAATTTTTTCAAAGATAAATGTTATGCAAAAAAGCAAATGAGGCTGCGCCACAATAATCACATATTTGCAATAAAAATTTAAGCACTTTATTATATAATATGATATATTTAGAGTATAGCTTGGCCGACCTTGTTGGAAATTTATTTTGTAATAGCTTAGTGATACTAGTGAATCCTCTACTATTCGTTAAATAAAATGTGCACTAACTCTAAAAAAAAAAATTATATAATATATATTAATTTTAATCATCTAATCGATCAATTAAATCAATAACTAATGTCATTCCACAATAATTATGCACTTTTGACGAGGTGTTTTTCGTAACTTTTTCAAAGTGCTTACGGACGTCTTTTGATGATGGTCTTCTACGAGAATAATTTTAAAAAAGGTTGCTTAAAAATACAAAAAAGGTCATTAAAAAATAATTATGCAACAATCATGCCGATCGATGTTTTAAAACAAAAAAAAAAACGTTTTAAAACAATAAAAAACCGATTTAAATTGTTTTAAAACATCTTGTTTTAAATCACGTGCCATCACTACGTCTATTATTGATTTTATTTTTAGAGAATAAACGAACTCAATTTCCAAGAATGCTTGAAATGGCATTCATATAAAGATAATAGTCAAGTGATCATTAAATAAACTTATAAGCTTTATCTTTTAAATCACTTGTACTCGCTACCCAGGTGACCTTATTTGATTTTACATATAATTTATTTATTAAAATTGAAATTTGCATATAAGATTTTGAGTATCAAAACTTCCTTGCAAATCTGTCACGTGGGAAAGCAGTTTTGCGGAAAGGTTAGATTGTTAATTTTACAGTATATTAGGACCATAAGTCATATTATATTCCTGAATGATTAGAGATTGGTATAAGTAAAATCAACAATATTAATGACAATATAAAAAATCAAATTTTAAGTTAACCTTTTTTTATTGTAGAATAAAGTGAACTTAATAGTTAATCCGTGATCCGGATGTCAATCAGTGAAAATCGTAAATAATAAGAATCTGCCGTCGCCACAAAGACAAGTCATTTTTTAATTTTCATCGGAAGAGAAATTAATAATGCATTCGAAAGCTGTGGTTTTTCTGCTACAAATACTGCGTAACATTTTTATTTTGTTGCACTGGATGCAGTGATACCTTACCCACAAAAATAATGATCTAGCTACAAAATTTCGCCCCATTTTTTGTTAGTAATTTTCACTGATTTATTGCCGGATCTCGAATTAATTTTATTCAAATTATCTAAATACACAGTGAAATTCGATATAATGGAACTGGCTTTACATCAAAACTTTTTTCTGGAACCAAATCATATATTAACATCTCAATAATAGCTGAACAAAACAACAAATCGGTTAATTTGCCCACTTTTCCACCCACGTATTACGTAGTAAAGGCTAGTAAAGTTTAAAACATATTTTAAACGCCAAAATTGTTTTAAAACGTTTTTTGCCATCCCTAAATAGACGATCACTTAAATTGATCACATTTCAATAATTTCTCTCGATACATAAAAATATATAAATAAATTATTTTAGATATATACTAAAACCTGTTTAAGAATATATACCTATTACCTAGTAATTTTTTTTTATTTTTTGTTAAAAATACACGCTAAATCATTTTAGTTCTTATATTTACAAAATTTATTATATTCATTATTTATATTAATTCCTTTTATTATTTACTATTATAAGAGTTTAAGTTACTTTTAGTTAATTTATTAAGGATAAGTATAATTATCGTTTGTATTTCAAGTTATTGAAAATTTTATGATTCAATTTAATAATTGAGCTAAAGATATATTTTTTTATTATATAATAGAAATATCAAAAATATGCTATATAATAAAACTCTTAATATATAAACCTATAATAAACAAAAATAATATGTTACTTTAGTAAATAATTCTAATAAAATCTCATTAACTGATATAAATTTATGCAATAAAATAGTTTAAAATCCATCTAAAAATAATAAAAATTAGTATTTGAAATTAAAATTGAATTTTGAAAAATTTTGCAGTAACAATTAAATTTATTTACAATACCTTGTTTCTTTATTTCCTGTTTTATAGTAGTTTCTCTTTTATAATTATTTTGATTATCTAAAAAGATTTAAATAAATTTTCACCTTAGTAAAAAATATACATTAATATGTTTACTATTATTATACTATTCACTTACTGTCTCGTGATCCTATATAAAATTTTTGAAACGCTTTAGATAATCTTTTGCTATTTCCTATATTTTTAAATACAAAGTTAATATATTATTGTGACAAGTATAAAAAAAAATTAATAAAACTCTTACCTTTAAAACTACTACTTATTTTTGTACTATCATTATCGTGATCACTTGATTTATTAAGATCATCAACTAAAAAAAAGAAAATTTAATTACACAGTATATGTATATATCATAATAATTACAAATAAAATACTTACTATTTTCAGGAATATTGAAACTATAAGCTTTACTATGATATGCTTTTTTTAAAAAAATAAAAAAATGTTGCATAAATATTAAACTTTTAAAAATGATTATATAAAAAATATTGAAAATATATACCTTCTTGTTCTTCTATTATGGGATTTAAAAAAAATATTAATTGGAAAACTAATTTTAATATTAACGAAATTTTTCAGAAAAAAAAAATGAAATTAACCTTCGGTTGCATTTATTGGTTCAGGTAAATTTTCAAATTGATAAACTTTACTTATAGATAATTTACTACTTGCATAATAAAAACTCAATATTTCTAAATCACTTAGTTTATTTAAATTATTGGTTTTTTTAAAATTTTTTAAGAATTTTATAAAAATACTTGTGTTTTTATCTGTTACATTCTGGTAATATAATCTATTAATTTCTCTTATTTTATCTCTAATTGTATAAATACCAGGTCTTTTTGTCGGATCAGCATCCCAACATTGTTCCATTAATTCTTTATATTTTAAAGGAGTTCCCGATATAATCTTTGGTCTCATACCATTAACAATATCCATTGCAAGATTATAATCATCTTCGTAATTCGCAAAAGGTGGTTGTCCAGACGAAACTTCCCACATTGTCATTGCAATACTATATATATCAGATGCTCTAGTATATCCTTTTCCAGCAATAACTTCTGGTGCTATGTAACGGAGATTTCCATATATACTTTCTAATGGCTTATCAACAGGTCCACAAAATCCAAGATCACTAATAAACCATCTATTATTATATTGTTGATATAATATATTTTCCGAATGCAAATCTCTATGAATTACATTTTCTTTATGAATACTATAAAGTGCTTGAATTATGTCATTTGTAATATTAATTCTTTTATTCCATGTAAGTTGATTATGATTTTGTTGTAAATATTCTCTTAAATTTGTATCTAATTTTTTCATTACAAGCATATAATTTTCATCTGATGGATCTTGAGTCAAACCATAACAACTTACTACAACTGGCCATTTGTTAGCTATTGTTAGATGGGATTTGGCCTACAAAGGATTTAAGTATTATAATTTAAAAATATATTTGATTTAAAATACTTTTTCAATTAACATACCTCATCAAACCAACTTCTATTAGCACTTTCAACATTTTCTAACTTTTTAAGTATAACGTGCCCAGTTCCATATCTTATTAATTGTTGCTCTGTAGAATTCCATTTATAATAATTCCACCAATCCAATTTGCTGTATAAATTTTAGAGCATCCACCTTCAGTTAGATACTTAATATTTTGTAAGTTATTATATGGAATCCATTCAATTAACATTTCTGGATGAATTGATTTTATTTGGCATTTCTGAATTAAATCATCAAGATTATTATTTCCAGATGTCCAATTTGAAAATTTTGTTTCTAAATAATTTCTAATACAATATTCACAATACAAAGTTGCTAAACATTCTTTTTGACAATTTTCACAAATTCTTCTTTTTCCCTTATTAATAAGGACTTTATGATAATCATAATCTCTAGTTAATTTTTCAATTATTTTTGATTTTTCATATTTTGTAAGAGATTTATCGGCATGAATAGTTCGTTCTTTAAATTCATGTTGTTTGTCTATATTATCATTAAAATTAACCAATGCATATGCTCTATTATATGCAGCAAAAACTAAATCATCTCGAATGGTTGACATAATAGAAACCTTTAATAAACCAAAATTAAAAAGTGCGTATGATTCCTTTTAACTCGGAGCGGTGATTTCCGCTCGTTTCACAAATGTAAATAATCCTTACCAAAATTAGGCCAATTGAACGCATCATGCGCCACAATTAATTTAGTACTACCGTGATACCACATGCACTTTTTTATAGGACTAAAAAAATCAATGATGACGTCACGAAAATACAGATTCAGTAGCAAAAAAAAGAAAAATTAGATTAAGAAATATTATCGAGTGACCATAGATATAAAGTGCATATTCATTTGTTGATTCTTATCTTTGAAAATATTTAATTTTATTTTATCGTAGGATAAGAATTTAAAAAGTCGTAAATTTGAATGTGATGTATCAAAATTTAATAATGCTAAACTATCATTGAAATAAAAAGAATAAAAAATTATATCAATTATGAAACCAAATTTTTTATAGTAGTGACTGCGTACTACGTTAACTTCATTCCAGTACGCTGATTTAGAATGATTTAAATTATTATTTTATATCAAAAAGTTTTTTTTACGCTATCATTGATTAAATAGTCAACTAACTCGAGTGTTTTTCTGAAGTGATATGATACCATGATATTCATGATATTGAAAATTGTGTAACACTACAACCGTTAGAACTTTGGATTTGGTGAGTAAAAAAAAGCTTATTGTAGTTAGCGGTAGTTAAAAAAGATAATTTATGTATGAAAATTATAACACTTATTTAGTTATTTAAATGTAAATTAACTGATAAACTCTCATTTAACTATAAAACGCTGGATATAAGGATATTCATAAATTCAGACTGTTCAAAATACAATCATTCTATAATCTTTATTAATCTCAAAGTTCAAAAGTTCATATTTAATGTTCATTAATATAATTTATATTATCTAAAAACCTAAATTCTATATTTAATTTCATAAAATCACCCATTTATATATAACGTCTATTTTCCCATTCTAAAAAAAATCCATAAATCACATTTCCAACAATCAACATAAAATCAATATACAATAAGAAGTGATATCAATCTATCATATTTCTTATCATGAAAAAAAAAAAAAGTTAATATCGAGAAAAAATATAGTAAAAAAAATGATACTTTAAGTACTTTACGCGTAAAAAAAAATTTGTACCTCATTTGAAAAAAAAAATTACCGTTTCTTAAGTGGTATATATTTGTAACCTTCGTTAACTATACCATGTCTATGTTTAGCTAATTTAGCTAAAGCGTTAAAAGCTTCAATAGTAATTTCATCCTCATTTTTCCAACGTTCACCAAGGTCTTTACTAATATCGCAAGCTTTCCAACCTCGATATACTTTAGCATCTCTTGCTAATCTATCCTTACGATAAAGTATCCAAGCATTTTGAGGACGAGGAGTTTTATTTCTTAATTTTTTTGGTCTTCTAGAAGTTTGACTATTACTTATCAGTGTATCTAAAGGTAAATAAAAATTATAAGAATTAATGGTTTGCTTATCTAATTCGGGAAATATTACTTCGTCAGACAATTTTTCATAAATATGTTTATCGTTAAAATTTACTGGGTGAAATTGTTCATTACTCATTTTGTTGAACAAAAGAATTCGAAATTTTAGCGTCCTTTTAGTTTTTTTTAAATAATTCTTTGGTTACACTATGTGTATGCAGGAGTTGTGTCGATGTCATATGATGTAATGATGTAGATCTAAATCAATTTAGGATAAAATACCTTTGCAACCAATTTTCTATTTTTAGTAATTCGGCATTTTTTGTAACAAAGAAGTTGAAAAAAAGATGCTGCATAATTTTTTTGTTTGATTGAATTTGTCAGCAATTTATTTAAAAAGAAGATCGAAACCAAAATAAGATATATTTATTTATATTACATTAAATGGAATGAATGAAAATGAAAAAAATGAAATGATTGATATGTACATTTTGAATTACGCTTTTTGGTAATAATCGAATGATCATTTTGCGTAACAATTAATTTGTTCATCAAAAAAAAAAAAAAAAATTTAAAAATTTAAAAATGGATTAATTGCTTATCATTTTGTAAATCATTTCAGAAATGTCTGCTATTTAAAAAACGTTCATTTGGAAACATCCAAATTCATACAATTCAGAAGGATAATCATGACTCACTTTAATTATATAATGAATAAATATCTCGAAAAAATGAGTAAAAATTAGTAAAATTACGCTAACGAAGATACTTTTTTCTCCTTTTTCTATTATTTCTATCTTTTCTAATTTTTTAAAAATCTATTTTACGTTATATAACAATTTTTTATCACATAAATATATCGTCAATTAAAAAAAAAATAATGAAAACTTTTTCACCATTTCGATTACAATTTAAATGTCATATTGAAGGTAGTAGTGATATGATATAATATCATTTTAGTTTATTTTTCAAATTAACATCTAACCGTTCAAAAGCCACATTTGTATATTTCTTGTAGTAAACACTATATATGGGATAATGGCGTAATGAACGACAAGATCGTACTGCAAATTAATATTAATTAATATTTTGTGGATCGTTTGTACAGATAATATTTATTAGCAGAAATGACGATGATCGTTGAAGATATTATACAATATATGAAATGTAAATGTATGCTGCTTTTTGGCGAGATAAAATCGATGTGCACGATTATACTGGTCTTCCGTTGGGTAGAATATATTATCTATATAGTGATCTTAACAGGCGTATGGAAGTAATAGCGAAATCTTATTTTCTAGAATGAATGGTCTTTATTCAGAAGCGAAAAAAAATTTTGACGAATTTTCTACTCAAATATTAAAAAAAAATAATTAATAAAATGAGTAATGGTGATGAAGATCAATTTATCAAATCACACCCTAAATAACCACGTGAAAAGATGATGATTTTAGAAATATACTTCGTGGAAAATTTAGAATTTTTAAACTATTATTCCATTAAAATTCATGCATCTAATTTTTAGATTCCGCATCATTAGATGTCCTATTTATATTTTAAAAAATAAAAAAAATGTGAAATTATTCAGTTTATATATAGCAAAGCATTAGATAATCAGAAAGAAAAATATTTCATATAAATATATAGTAAATTAAGTAAAATATTACAATCACGATTAAAAACACAAATCATTTCATAACGTCAATTTGCAATCTCTATATATTAAATCCACAAGAATATGGGATGTTTTTCTTTAACTACTAGCCGTACTTGTTTTTCATCACTTTGTAATAATAATTGGAATATGCAGACCCGTTACACATGCTGATAGTTTTATCGCATTATTCAATATAAAATTTTATGTTGTTTTTAAAAGATTATCAAGATTAGATATCAACGCCCAATTTCCATATGTGACAACATTTATATAACAAAAATTATTCGGATGATATGAATTGTGAAATATTATTACGTGATCTAATATTAAATCAAAAAAGGCAATAAATTTAGCCTGAATAATAAATACATAATAAAAAGAAAATACAGACACTCATTCTTACTTCAACTACCAAATATTATAGTAATACATACAAAATTCAAGGAATTTTATATTACATTACTCCATTTTGACATAATCATCTTGAAAAATTTAGTTATCTTTTTTTTATTATGTGATAAGAAATATTGTTATACAAAATTTTATAGCAAAATTAAAAAAAAATGAATTATTTAAATTACAAACTAAGAAAAATATGAATTGTTATTGATAATAGAATAATTTAAAAACCGTTTAAAATAAATAAAATTAGTATTTTAATATTAAAATTCTTGAAATTATTTTCATAACAATTAAATTAAATTACCATCAGGAATTTCTTGATCTTTTGAATCAATATTTGGATTATTAAAAATATCTTCTTCATTATCTATAAAATAAAAGAGAGTAATAAGAATATTTAAAATCATTGTTGTTGATATAAAATTTATAAACTTTACATACCATTAACATCTTGTTTCTTTTATTTGCTGTTTTACAATTTCTTTTCCATAATTATCTTGATTATCTAAAAAAAAAAAAAAAATTATAAATATAATTAAAGCTAATTATATTGAGTAGTCATATTTATATATTAATTACTTACTATCTCCTGATCCTAGACGCAATTTTTGAAATACTTTAGATAATGCTTTACTATTTCCTACATTTTAAATGAAAATTAATATCTGATATGTTTATATGAATATTAAAAATAAAATTTTGATATTGAACATTCACCTTTAAAATCACTAGTTGTTTTTGATGCACTATCATTATTCAGATTTAAATCATCAACTGGAAAAGAGAGTTTTGATTATAAATGTAATCATATAATGATATTACAAATAAAAAAATACTCACTATCTTCGGGAATATTAAAATTATAAAGTTTGCTATGATATGCTTTTTAAAAATAAAATAATGTCATATTATAAAAATTAAACATTTAATAAAAAAACATCAAATATATAACTAACCTTCTTGCTCTTCTATTATATATTTTTTTTTTAAAAATAAAAATAAAAATCAATTTAATAAAATCTAGAAGAAAATTATTAATCATACATTCAGTTGCATTTCTTGGTTCAAGCAAATTGTCAAATTTATAAACTTTACTTGTAGATAATCTACTACTTGCATAATAACAACTCAATATTTCTAAATCACTTTTTTTATCTAAATTATTGGTTTTTTAAAATTTTTTAAGAATTTTATAAAATACTTGTGTTTTTATCTGTTACGTTTAGGTAATATAATCTATTAATTTCCCTTATTTTATATCTAATTGTATAAATATCAGGTCTTTTTCTCAGACCAGCATCCCAACATTGTTCCATTAATTCTTTATATTTTGAAGGAGTTCCTGATATAATCTTTGGTCTCATACCACTAACAATATCCATTGCATGTCTATAATCATCATTATAGTTAGCAAAAGGTGGTTGTTCAGATGAAATTTCCCACAATAGCATTGCAACACTATATATATCAGATGCAAAAGTACATCCTTTTCCAACAATAACTTCTGGTGCAATGTAAGGAAGATTTCCATATACTTTCTAATGGCTTATCAGCACTCAGGTCCACAAAATCCAAGATCACTAATAAACCAATAATTAGTATGTTGATTATAAAGTATATTTCCTGAATGTAAATATCTATGAATTGCATTTTCTCTATGAATCCTACTAAGTGATCTTATTACATCTTCAGCGATTTTAATTCTTTCTTTCCATGTAAGTTGATTATGATTTTGTTGTAAATATTCTCTTAAATTTGTATCTAATTTTCTCATTACAAGCATATGATTTCCATTTGATGGATCTTGAGTTAGACCATAACATTGTACTATATCTGGACATTTGTTAGCTATTGTTAGGTGAGATTTGGCCTACAAAAAAGTTTGCTAAATAAACATACTAGTTCGATTTATCAAAATACTTTTTCAATTAACATACCTCATCGAACCAATTTCTATTAGCACTTTCAACATTTTTTAACTCTTTTAGATTAACTTGTTGAGATCCATATCTTACTAATTGTTGTTCTGTAGAATTCCATTCATGATATTGTCCACCAATCCAATCCGCCAAATAAACTTCAGAGTAACCACCTTTAGTTAAAAATTTAATATTTTGTAAATTACTATATGGAATCCATTCAATTATAAATCTTGGAGAACATGATTCTGTTTGACATTTCTGTATTAAATCATTAATATCATTACTTCCAGATGTCCAATTTGAAAATTTTGATTTTAAATAATTTCTAATACAAAATTCACAGTATAATGTTGTCAAACATTCTTCTTGACAGTTTTCACAAATCCTTCTTTTCCCTTCATTTAAAATAATCTTAGTATAATCATAATCTTCATTAAAAATTTTTATTACTGTTGCTTTTCATCTTTTGTAAGAGATTTATCAGCAAGAATAGTTTGTTTTGCAAGTTCAATTTGTTTATCTATACTGTCATAAATATTAAGCAATGCATGTGCTCATATATACGCAGCATAAACTAAATCATTTCGAATGGTTGCCATAATAGCGAAAATTCAAAATTGTTAAACGACTCTATTTGCGTTTTAGTTTTTAATTCGGAGAGGTTCACAAAATATAAATAATCCTTAATTTGGCTAACCCTGTACGTCGCATTTATTTTATACCGCATAGTGTTACCGAAACCGTAACTCTGAGTTAGAGGTCTGCATTGACCCCTATTTTACAACCCGGCCCGGCCCGCACTTGGAAATTAACCTAAATTGCCCGGCCCGGACTTAATATATTAAAACCCGGACCCGGACTATTATTATATCAATTTGTAAAAACAAAAAAATCGGCCAACTTAATTTTGGCCAGTTTAATTTCGGCCAGAATTAAGCCGATTTTGGCCAGAATTACGAATATCCTGGTTTAACGTCGGCTTGGACATTTTATTGTTAGATAAAAAATTGGGAACGGTCGTAAATTGTAAATATATTAAAAAAAAACAATGTTAAATTATAAAAAGCAACTTTTTTTATAATCAAATTAGTGACTTTTTTTAATTCCTAATATGATATAAGAAAATATATATATTGCTATAATTAGCCGATTTGTTAGGAATATGACTTTAAAAATTGTAAAAAGTAACCCATTAAAACATATTTGTTATATTATAGTCATCATATTCAATTTATTATAAAGTTATATAAAAAAGGTTTCTGTAGAAATATATTTCATGATTATTAACAAACTAAAATTTTCCTTTTTTTGTTTGTAGTCATAGTTTTTGCTCTATTATATATAATATTAATGCTTTGTTATATAATTTATAAACTTTACCGCACTTTATACTTTAAAAACTACCCATTTTACTACATATCACAGCCAGGTATCTTGCAAATTTTGGGGTCAGTTGATGCTGTACCCAGGGATGTACGAAACTTTTATTATAAATGAAGGGTTTTAAAAACTTGTAATATATTCAAAAAAATATTTAAATGTGTTAACAGCCTGAGTAAAATTAGATTGTTTAAATAGTATAATCAAAAGAAAACGGAGATTTTTTTCAGAAAAAGGATACTACACATGGGGTACTATGGCCCGTGATATATGTAGGGATGGCACGTGATTTAAAACAAGATGTTTTATAACAATTTAAATCAATTTTTTATTGTTTTAAAACGTTTTTTTTTGTTTTAAATAAAACATTGATCGGATTATTGCGTAATTATTTTTTAATGACATCTTTTTTTATTTTTAAGCAACCTTTTTTAAAATTATTCTCGTGGAAAACCATCATCAGAAGACGTCCTTAAGCACTTTGAAAAGTTACGAAAAATACCTCGTCAAAGTGTGTAATTATTGTGGAAATGACATTAGTTATTGATTTAATTGATCGATTAGAAGATTTAAAATTAATATATTATATAATTTTTTTTAACGAATAGTAGAGTATCATTAAGCTATTACAAAATAAAATTCCCAACAAGGTCAGTTTTGCTATATTCTAAATATATATTATATAATAAAGTGCTTAAATTTTTATTGCAAATATGTATTACTTAGTAAAGGCTAGTAAAGTGCTTAATATTTTAAAACACATTTAAAACATGTTTTAAAACGCCAAAATTGTTTTAAAACATGTTTTTTGCCATCCCTAGATATATGGTATAATTTAAAAAACTTTATCCGTGTTCAGATTGAAATATGATAGATAATTCTTGCAAAATTTAATAATAAACTTACTTTTAGACCTATATAGAATTAAGGATCATGATTGAGTATTGATCATTATACTATTATGGTAATTGCGAAAATAATAATTTGATTTATGATATGTGAATTATTGGAAAAATGAACCATGAAGACTGGTCCTACTGGGTAGAACTGCTATCCGTCAGAATTTCTGGATCCAGATCAATCAAAAAAGTATTACCGACTCCACAACGGGTATTACCCGTTTATACCCATTTACCTTTTTATCAGATATTACTCGAGTCTCGAGTAATATCCCGGTATTATCCGGACAAATATCAATTCTTTTTCTCAATAAATATATCATATAAATCAAGATATTTATTGAATTTAAAAAACTTTGATATTGTTTAAACTAAAAGTTATCAAAATAAGTGTTGCTAGTAGTGACCGTCAACATACCTAATAAAAATTTCATTCGGCCAAGCAAAAATCCATATGACCTTAATTCTGGCCGGCATTAAAATTCTGGCCAAAGTTAACATCTTGGCAAATTTTAATTTTCTACCTTTTCCAACAATAACTTCTGGTGCTATAAAAATTATTAAGCGATTCTATTTATGTTTCAGTTTTTTACTCGAAGGATTTCCGTTTATTTTACAAATTTAAATAATTTTTACTAAAATTAGACTAAAACTAGAGCGCCACTTTATATCCGTATAAAAATTTCTTTTTATACCGTTCCAACTCAATTATTCTTTTAAAGTTCGGATTTTCTGAAAAGTTTGAGGGAAAGAGGTGACAAACTAAATAAAATAAACATAAATTATTTCCCCAAAATTTCCAAAATATATGTTTATCAAAATTTGGGTTTTTTAAAAAATAGAGAAGGTGGGATATGTTAAACTGTAAATTAAGACTAATCGTCCGGAGCGAAGCACTGTGAAAAAAAAATCGATCACATGAATCGCAAATTTTAGTTTTTCGCTCCGGACTTTACAACGGTTCCCGTTTCCTAGTTAAAATATTACTTAGCATACTTCAATATAAAGGGAAATTCATTAATCTTATCAAGAAAGGACTTTTAGCTTTATTATCATTATTAGATAACGATGCATTAGAATGCAACCGGTTAATTAATTGATTATTATTATAAATTTTTCTTTTTTTATTTTGGCCATTATTGAGCTTTGTAAAATGATAACAAATTACATAAAGCATAGCACAAATAAGTACATAGATTGAATATGATAAATCATATATCCTCACTACCTACCAAACTGCGTTATCTGTTATGGTTTCTTCTAACGTTGAACGTCCATTATAAGCTTTTTATCGGTTTCAACCTCTACTTCTATGATGTCTCACATTTTTTCGAAATTGCGTTAAACATATTTTGGCGATTGTTATAATCTGTTATATTACGTTAATTATCTTTGTGTAAGACACAAATTCATTTTATTGCTCATATGGACAAAGCTCAAGTTGAAGATTACATGTACACAATAACCTATCAATTAAATTTAGTTTTTGAAACTTCAATTACTTCATTATATAGTTATTATTACTCTTTGGAATAGGCACTCGGTCCGCATTACCGTTACCATGAAGCTTTTGGTCAGCATTATAATAATGTTTAATAACGGTACATATTTCAGTCAATTGTAAAATATTAAATTTATTGATTATTTTACAGAAAAAGTAAAAAAAAAAGGTTATTACATCATTAAATACTATAGCTCAAATAAATTTTGTTAACAGTAAAATAAACTCTATCAATAAATATAGTAATGATTTTTTTAAAAAAAAAATATTAATTAAATAGTATAATTTTTTCAATGATTAAAAAAAAATATGTAAAACAATTAAAAAGTTTTAAGCACTAGGAACGGTGCTTGTGGCACAGGCTAAAGTATTGCCATCTGCATCATTAATCTGGACCTGAATATTATATTCTTCAGGTAATGTATCTATTTGAATTTCTTCCTGTAAACTAAAGGTTGTGGCTGTGGCTGGACACGTGACATTAGCACAAATGTCAAAAGGAAAAGGTTCACCAATGACCTCACCAGCGTCATCTTGAAGTTGAATGAGTAATTCAGAACCTGTGTCGATGGTTCCATTCGTTAGCGTTCCAGTAACATTAAAAACATTAGGTCCAGCGACGAGAGGATCAGGTGTAATTGTTACAGTGATTGTGTCTGGAGATCCAGTAGTGCATGGATTAAAAATAGTATCTCTTTTATAAAATTGACGTGGAAAAGCGTTGACTATTGAAAATATAGTCAATAAAGTGATGACAAAAATAAAATTTTGCTTCATAGTTCTTTTTATGAATGTAATAATTGATAACTTAACAAATGTTTGATCAGGGTAAGTTTTTAATAGAGTAAGTCGAAAAAGTTGCCTTTTTATAAAAATTTAAAATGATTATTTAATTTCTTGGCGTTTACACTAATTTCTCAAAATGATTTTTTAGCCGAGTGAACAATAAAATAGCGTAACATTGAATTCCAGGAAGGATGATATAACGAGAGTAACCGGCATAACCGAAATTAACGTAAACAAGATGTAACGTGACGATGAGTGTTCTTTACAGGGATGTCTGACACTACATGATGTACCTGCATGGTGTACCGACGGTGTACAATATGTTGTGACATCACTAATACTGGTTGATCCTTTTAATTCGTTATAAAGGTATGTTGATAATTTAGCCTCGTATTAAAATTGAAGAGATAATCTTTCATCGGATATATACGTTTTAGACTGTAAACATTAAAATCTGTTTATTGTTTTATTCATTGATATTATTGATATGCTTTTATGTAAAAAAAAAAATTTCGCATTTTTTTTCTGTATAATTATAACATTTGGTAGAGCTCATCTGTACGTAAAAGTTTACAACTTTATTATTAGAATGCTACCAAATATAATTTTCGGAAAAAAAAAAAAAAATTAGACGGATGCTAGTCACGTGATTGAGTGTAACATGATACAAAAAACGTCAAATAATTTTTAATAGGAAATAAATAGTAACTTCCGTATATATGTACCACATCTGCTAGGACTAATTTTTTCTTTATATTTATAGATTCAGATGAATTCTTGGTTTCTTTTTCTTCTTTTACCATTTGATATATTAGCGTAGTCCTAGTATTTTGAATAGTTTGTCCGAAGGGTGAGGTCCCGTAGGGGATTTATTTCCAAAATTCTATACACGTATATTAGTTGTCCAACATGTAAATGCAGTCTTACTTTTATTTTGTAATAGTTTTGGGAGTAATACTCTTCTAGTAATAAAATAAAAATAAATAAATTAATAGGAAATAAATAGGTTAAATATTTCTTTGTTATTTCTGATGGAGGGTATCATTTCTCGCTCGATATATCGAACACTTTATTATCATAGGTAAAAACCGAGATGAGATGAAACAAAATATAAATAATTTATTTCCTGGAACTTTAATCATACGAAATTGCGCTTTAAACTATTTTCATAAACAATACTTATTACTCCTTAGCACTTTAATTTAAAACTATTGCATATTCTGGACTGAAGCTGAATATCTGACAGATTCAAAAAACCGTTCGTTGCATGAATTAGATAAATAGTTTTCGCTATAACTTATACTAATATTGACAAAAATTAATGGATATAACAATTACGTAGCCTTAAATTAATTGACCGTGAAAGCTCGTTAAATCTTGATTGAACAAGCTTAATTATTATGATTTTTTATATAGTTTGTAAATTGATATGTTGGAAACAAATTTGTAATATGAATAGTAAAATTTTTTTATAACTTTTCCTCCAAAGGTTTTTTCCACGGAAATTTATTATATTTAATAATATAATGATTTAATTAAAAAAGAATTGATTTACGAAATGTTCCAGTTTACTTGTTAACGCACTATGCAGTATCTTTACGCGAAAATATGTAATTTAAAATGATTAATATTAAAGTTCTTTTTTAATATTACGTCATTAAAGATTTATTTATTAGAGAAAATTATGTTAACCTAATTTAGCCATTAAACTACAATATATCAGACGAGAAAATTTTATTTGCTGTTGCATAAAAATTGGTTTTTAATTATCTTTGTAAAAATATTTTGTTTAAACCAAGTTTATACTGTAAATGTGGGTTATCTTAAAAATTGGTTTCGCATTATTTATTGCTGTATTGAGTAAAATTTGGGTAAATTTTAAGTAACATTTTATATGTCTCCATCATAAGTATTTTAGTTTTTTTGCAGTATGCCAAAAAGTGGAATATCCAAAAGAATCAATTCTACCCAAAATTCAATATGACGATAAGTATTTCATTTTCTTTACTGTATTAACTACAAATTCTATATATAGCGCTATATCCATTGTATCTTAAATCAGAATATTGGTCGAGACATATTATTACATATGGAATATAAATACACGAGCGACCAATGCTTTCTTAAATTTAAAACTCTTTGGATGATCGACGAACAAGCAATGTTATTCAGTGTTCAGCAAATGACTTGAAATGAACAAATGACTCAAATGACAAGTCATTTGTCATTTGTCATTTGCAACTCAAATGACCTGTCATTTAAGTCATTTGAAAAATATTAAATATTCTGAGAATTTTTATTAATTATTTTGTTTATTTTAAGATGTGTATAAGAGACAGCGGTGCTTGTGGCACAGGCTAAAGTATTGCCATCTGCATCATTAATCTGGACCTGAATATTATATTCTTCAGGTAATGTATCTATTTGAATTTCTTCCTGTAAACTAAAGGTTGTGGCTGTGGCTGGACACGTGACATTAGCACAAATGTCAAAAGGAAAAGGTTCACCAATGACCTCACCAGCGTCATCTTGAAGTTGAATGAGTAATTCAGAACCTGTGTCGATGGTTCCATTCGTTAGCGTTCCAGTAACATTAAAAACATTAGGTCCAGCGACGAGAGGATCAGGTGTAATTGTTACAGTGATTGTGTCTGGAGATCCAGTAGTGCATGGATTAAAAATAGTATCTCTTTTATAAAATTGACGTGGAAAAGCGTTGACTATTGAAAATATAGTCAATAAAGTGATGACAAAAATAAAATTTTGCTTCATAGTTCTTTTTATGAATGTAATAATTGATAACTTAACAAATGTTTGATCAGGGTAAGTTTTTAATAGAGTAAGTCGAAAAAGTTGCCTTTTTATAAAAATTTAAAATGATTATTTAATTTCTTGGCGTTTACACTAATTTCTCAAAATGATTTTTNTTCAAATGCTAAATGCCAAATGATAGGATGTCATTTGACCAAATGACTCCTAATCCGAAAAAATGTTCAAATGACCAGGTCATTTCTGAACACTGATGTTATTTCTCTCATTTAGTTCGTGATTCAATAAGTTGGTGCTATTCCTGTTATTTTGTTCTTTTTGTAACATATTGGCCTAGTAAAATTTCTGTTTGTTTCGACACTGCACGTTGAACTCTTTAACTCTTTATGAAATAAAACAGTGTATACGTTATATGTATTTTTTTTATTAGCCGTGTATATGTAGAACATTATCATGAAATTATAATAGCCTTTTTTTAATGAATCTTAATTTATTTACTTTTTTTTATCGTCCGGAGCGAAGCGAAGGACAATATATGTCTACGCACTATGAAAAAAAAAAAGAATTTCTATTTACCCGTCACATATGCTTTTTTTGCGTAACATTTATTTTAGAAAAATTTTAATTGCAAATTTTTTCACTTTTCGCACTTTTAAAATATTAAGAAATTAAGTTTTCATACTTATGTTTTTAAATTTAATAAAAAAAAAAAATTATTTATTTTCTAAAAGTTAATAAAAATATGCTTTATTGATAAAAAATGATAAGTTCGTTTGATTTTTACATTGAAATTTATGTCTGCTTATTTATTAATAAGTATAATAAATAACGCCTAAATAAATATAAAAACGCGCGTATCCTATGTCTCCTAATGGATAAAATAAAACAAATACGATAAATTACACATAAATAAATATAAAAACGCGTATCTCCTAATAAAATAAGTATAATAAATAACACCTGAATAAATATAAACTGCGTCTCTCCTAATGCGCCAAGAGGAGTAAAAACTTCTTTAGTGGCGCAACTTTTAACATAAAATGCCAAAATTATTTATTATAATAGTGGCCAAAATTATAACTATAAAAATAACGGATTTTATAATTTATCGCACCTGCGATGTATTCTGGGACTTTAACTTTTTTCAGTTGTAAAAAATCTATTTTTCACACCCTAGTTAAATGTCACATGTTTTAATTTTGCCCGGCATTACGTAATTTTGCTCAGGGTGCCCAGGGTGCGATGTATCGCAGGCGCGACAAAATACAAAACCCAAAAATAAATATCAGAAAAATTTAAAAATATAAGCTTTTTTAGAAATTAAAACTTTGATAATCTATTAATTTGGAAAATTAGTACAATTTGGATTCGTCATTCGTTTAACCCGGTCCGTAAATAAATGGATGATCCGGATGACATCCGAATGAATTTCAATATAAAATCCGGATGACCAATCCGTAAATAACGGATGATCCGGATAACCAAACAGTACTAATCAACGGATGGATACAGAAATAGCAGATGTGAATCATTCGTATCTTCATCCGGATACAATCCGGATGGTTTCGAATCGGATAAATTCGCGAATTGGCGGATTGGCGGATCAACACTAGCTAGGCCAAGTCAAAATTGATCAATGCAGTGTGACATTAGATTGGTAGTTATAGAATGTATGCATATGGCTACCGTGTATACATCTATTGCATCATGCATGCATTAAGGGATGAAATAAAATAATACGTTTGAAGAAATTTTTTTATAAATAAAATTTCATTATTATTACTTAAATGACAAAATGACTTTGGTAGAAGAATGGATTAAGAAAGAGATAAGTGATAAGCACATTCGTTATTTTGAATATAATGAATTTAGTCAAATCGACGAAATTGGTAGAGGAGCTTTCGGTAAAGTGAGTAAGGCGAATTTGGCTGATACGGGATTGGTCGCATTAAAAATTCTTTTTAGTAAAAATTCAAAAGAGGAAATTAATGAGGATAATGATGAGTTTGTTAAGGAGGTAGGAATCACTTTTTACGTTGTATTTTCTTAGTGTGTGCATATAAATAATATAATTTTTTTTTTAGTTAAAACTCCTACGTGAAGTTGATTATCATCAAAACATAAATCGTATTCTAGGATTAACAAAAGGTTTATGTTAAGAATTTTTTTAAATAATTTATTTATACAGTTCAATCTAACTAATTACTAATATTTAAATTAACAGATTCTGAGCATTATATTTTGGTTTTGGAATATGCTAATGAAGGGAGTTTAAGAGATTATTTGAAAAAAAATTTTACTTCCTTAAAATGGAATGATAAAATTCAAATGGCATTGGATATTACTAATGGATTGAAATTTTTACACTCCAAAGAAATAATTCATAGAGACTTGGTAAAAGAGTATTTACTTTATAATATTTTATTTTCACTATTTTTGTTTTTATTTTTGAAGATAATTTTAATAAATACTGTCCAATTATTTTTAGCACTCAAAAAATATATTAGTGAATAATAGAAAATTATTAATTGCAGACCTTGGATTATCTAAAAAGTTGAAAGAAGTTATGTCTAGTAATTCACTGGGTAATAGAAGGGGAATGGTTGAATATACTGAACCACAATGTCTTAAGAATAGAAAGTATAAAAAAGATAATAAGTCCGATATCTATAGTTTAGGTATTTTATTCTGGGAAATTTCAAGTGGGCATCCTCCTTTTTCTGACTGTTCACAAGATCTAGTTTACCATTATATTAAAAATGATGAAAGAGAAGATCCAATTGAGGGTACGCCTCCAAAGTATCAAGAACTTTATCAAAAATGTTGGGAAAGCGAACCGGAAAAAAGACCTAATATTAAAGAGGTATATGTAATTTTAAGTCGATTAAATGCTGAGAATCCTTTTGATATACAATTTCCACAATCTATTGATGACGACGAAGGTGATTCCAAAGTTTATAATGATGACTTCACCATCTCTTCTAATTGTCTAAATCCCTCTTTAATAAGTAAGTATAATATATTAATATTATATATATATTAATAACAATAAAATTTATTAATAATTTACTACAACATTTTCAATACTGAGCATTACTAAATTCAATTATTCTAATCAACTAGGGAATTTGCTCATAGTTGGCCGAACTTTGAGTGGTAAATCAACGTTATCCAACGTATTATGTAATACTGATGATTTTAGCGAAAATGAATATATAATTAAAAAAGATTTCGAATGGAATGGATTAAAATACTATATGATTGAAATTGTATTTGGATCAATTGAAAAGAAAGTTTATAATGAAATAATAGATTTGATGCCAGAAGGGATAAGTCAAGTTTTATTTGTGGTCGACAAAAGTTTTACGACAGAAGAAAAGATAATGTTGGAGTCATATAAAAGAATTATCTTTGAAACTGGTATTCTTGAATATGTTACTATTATAAGAAATAAATTTGATGATTTTAGCATTAAAAATGAGTGTGAAAGGGATAAAAAACATGTGTTTGAAGAAAATGAGATAATTACTGAGATAGTTAAGTCGTGCAATAATACCATCTACATAAATAATCCTCCAATATTTACTTGTGATGAAGATGAAATCATTGTTAACAGAGATATAAGGAAAAGGTCAAGAGCTATATTACTAAATTATTTGGAGAAAGAATGTCAGGAAGAATACTACAAATTAGAAAATTGGGACGATTTACAAAGTAAGATTGCCGGTTATTCTAAATTAAATAAGGAATTTACTGAAGAAGTGAAAAAAGCTGATAATACAAGTAAAGTAAATTTAATAATTTTTACTAATTTTAGTCGATTAAATACTGATCTACAATCTCCGCATCTTAATATATCAAAAAAGTTGATGCCGACGACTTATATATTTCTTCTGATTGTCTAAATCCAAATTCATTAAGCATGCTTAATAAACTACAAGATGATCATAAAGAAGAACCAATTGAAGGTTCATCTTCAAAATATTATCAAGAATGTGATGGCGAACCAAAATCAAGTCCCGATACTGAAGAAGTATATGAAATTTTAAATACAGGTATAAAATAATTTAATGTAGACAATGAATTCAAAGAAAAACTAATGAGTTTAGTTTAAATATAGATAAGAACAAACTGGGAAAAAATCGGTATACCGATACGGATCGGTCAGAAAAATCCATTGTCGAAGAATATATCACATATTATGAATATTCAGAATTTAAAATAATACGAAAGATAGGGAATGGTTCATTTGGAAGCGTCTATTGTGCTTCTTGGAAAAATACTGACCAAATTTTTGCTCTAAAATGTTTCAATGGGGATAAAACCACGCTGAAAGAAGTTGTTAATGAGGTATTAAATTTATAATAATCTTAAAATCTTTTTGATTTCTATTAATTAATTTCTTTTATAGATAAAAATATGCAAAAGAGTGGATTTTCATGAAAATATTTTACAATTCCATGGAATCGCAGTGGCGAAAAATGCTGGTAAGTCTGCATATAATATAAATTATTTCTATTTTTTAAAATAAACATCCAATAATAACATATTTTTTTAAATATGTAGATACAATTCAAAAATATGCATTGGTGTTAGAATTTGCCGATAGCGGCACATTAAGAACTTACTTAAGTGATTGTTTTAATGACCTCAAATGGGATGATAAATATCGGTTTGCATTCCAACTAGCAAGTGCGATAGCATGTATGCATAAATGTGATGTTATTCATTGTGATTTGGTAATAATTTAAGATTTTATGATTTTGATATTGATTTTAGCTGATTAATATTGAACTATTTTCATTTTTAATTAAAATAGCATGCTGACAATGTATTTGTACACCAGAAAAAGATAAAACTGACAGATTTTGGGTTATCAAGAAAGATTACCGCATCAAGTAGTAATCCAAATACGTTTGGCTTGATACCTTATATCGATCCAAAAAGGTTAAAAGATCGGCAAAATTATAAATTAAATAAAAAGTCTGATGTATATAGTGTTGGTGTTCTAATGTGGCAAATTTCAAGTGGATATCAACCATATAGAAATGAAAATTATGATGTAAGTTTGGCCATATCAATAATAAATGGAAGAAGAGAAAAAATTATTGATGGAACTCCTGCTGAATATAGTAAATTATATACAGGTAATAATAGCTATATCATTATTATTATTTATTAAAAAATTAAATTTTATTTGGTTTATTTAACTAGAATGTTGGAAATATGAACCACATGAGCGTCCAAACATGCAAGATATTGTTTCAACTCTTAAAGCTTTGATTTCTCCTGATCAAAATAGTACAAACCCCGATGATGTTAATAAAAAAGGAAATACCTCATTAAAAATTCCAGAATTAAGTGTAGGAACTATAGATATAAATAAGAGTTTATCAGTGGGTTCAGATGTTAACGTATTAAATAATATAGAGCCTGAGAGCAATTCGAGTTTGGTATCTGTTGCCCAACCAAAAATGCCAGGTAAGGTAACTTATATTAATGGTGAATATTTTTAATATTTTTGAAAATAGAATATTTATGAATTTAAATCGTTTTATAGATGGCAAATCAAAACCAAGAAATACCAAGTCAAAAGAACAAGAAAAGTTTAATACTCAATACTCGAAAGAGAAAGAGATATACATTGTTGGTAGTAGAAGCATACTATTTAGTTTTTTTAAATCAGAATTTACAAAATTAGAAGGTTCCTTAGAAATAGAAGGCTTTGAAAATTTAGAAATTATTAATCTGAAGGACCTTAAGTTAAATAGTTTAAAAATAAATGATTGTTCTCAACTTAACAAGGTTGACTTGTCTGAACTTACTAAACTTACGAGTTTATATGTAAGAGATTGTCCAAACCTAACTACGGATGATTGTTCATTAATTGGGTTAACCAGTTTGAAAAGTTTGAAAATAATCAATTGTTCTCAATTTAAAAAGATTTTTGACTTGTCACTTTTTCCTGAGTTAACTAGTTTGGAAACAAGTGGTTGTTCTCAACTTAATCAGATTACCGGGTTTTCTAGGCTTCCTAAACTTACGAGTTTATACGTGATAAATTGTCCAAAACTGACTAAGCTAGATTGTTCATCAACTAAGACGTTAACTGAGTTAGAAGTTAGTGATCTTGAAGAGCTCAATTGTTCGAATACTTCAATTGAAGAATTAAGTCTTAATCTTTGTCCGAATATCACAAAACTCGATTGTTTAAATAATAAAAAATTAATTAAATTAGATTTAAGCAACTGTTCCTACTTAGACTTTCTTGATTGCACTGGCAGTAAATTAACTAGTCTTGACCTAAGTTATTGCTCCAAATCTATTACGGTAAAACCTTCTGACCTGATTATTACTCGAAAACTTGAAAACTTCAGAAATATATTACTAGTTGGTCGCACTGGTGGTGGTAAATCCACGTTGGCTAATGTACTAACTGACACTAGTAATTTCAAGGAAAGAGCTTATGCAGTTAGTCAGACTAAAAATTTTAAGAAAATTGATTTTAAATGGAATGAGGAAAATTTTCGCGTAGTTGATACTATTGGAGTTGGAGGTACTAAACAAAGTACAGAGAATACTTTATTCAAAATAGCAGAAGGAATCCTTTCAATGCCAGAGGGGCTGAACCATGTTTTATATGTGATTGATGGAAGATTTACAGAAGAAGAAATAAGCACGTTTAATATGATTACAGATTCCATTTTTAAAAGTGGTATTCTTGATTATGTCACTATTGTGAGAACTAAATTTTCTAACTTTAGAGATAAAAGAGTCTGTGAAGTGGACATAAAAAAAATTCGTGAAGAAAGTAAAGAAAATGAATTAATTGCTGAAATAATTAATTCATGTAATGGGTTCATTCATGTGGACAATCCCCCAATAGATATTGTTAAAGAAGATGATGATGATGATTATGAAGATCGAATTTTGGCTAATAAAAATGTCAGAAAAAAATCAAGAAAGAAGATATTAGACTACTTGGAGGAAAAATATCAGGACAAACGTTACAAATCAGAAAATTGGGATGAATTATGTAATAAGATTGTTGAATATACGAATCATAATTTATAAGAGTTAGAAATTGATCCAGATATTCTGATTGTCTGACGGAAGAAGCTTGCTTAATTCTTTAAAAAATAGCGTGTAAGAATAAAATCAGAAGAATAATTTATGCTCGATGCTTTCATTATTCCAATGTTCGTGAAGTTGAATTCATATTTTAGAATTAGGATAAGAAATTATGTATCGACAGGTTTAAAATAGAAATAATGTTTTAATGCAAGAGTAATAAAATAAATTTTTTTTCCTAATAAATCAGTACGTATATATATTCATGAACAGTATTTAAATTTCAAGTACTTCATGATTATTGATTTCATGCCAGCAGCGTTAAGAATTTATTAGCATCTAAAAAATAACAAATTTCTGAAGATGACGACTCCATCATAAAATCAAAGACCAAAAGTATTTTAATTTTTTTGCAGTATGCCAAAAGTGAAATACTGTATGAAAGACACACACTCAGGTAATCATCAAAGGATATAACCTATGCACTTGTGACGTAAATAATAAGGTTATATCCTTTGATGATCGCGGGGTGGTGAAAGAATTTCTATCCAAAAGTCAATATGACGGTAAGTTATTACATTTTCTTTGCGGCACTATTAAACTACAAATTCATTAACGTTATATCCGTTACGCAATCAGTTATTCACTAATATATTCTTAGAGTGTTACAAAATGATTGGATAGTATTTATTAGTCATCACCCCCCTATAAAAACAAAATATGTTAAATTTATTTTAAATTCGTGCTCATATGTAATAAATGTCTAAAAAAGCACCATTATGTTTAATTTTTGTTTTTTTGTAATAAGACATAAATCGGATAAAATGGTGCTTTTTAGACATTTATTACACATGAGCACAACTATAAAACAAATTTAACAAATTTCGTTTTTATAGGGCCCGGTCAAATCACAAACAAAATATTAAATACCAAGTCTCTATGAATTATTTCTTTGGAGTGTAAAAATTTCAATCCACTAATAATATCCAATGCCATTTTGATTTTACCATTCACGAAGAAGTTTTAACTAAAAAAAGGTAAAATAGAATTAATTTTATACCAAGCTAATATACCATACAACATAAAAAAGTGATCCCTATGCTATCTCATTGATAAATTCATCATTGGTTTCATCTATTTTCTCTTTAGTTTTTTAGTACAATCAACCCATATTAGCTATATTCGTTTTATTCACTTGACTAAAAGTTCCACTATCAATTTCGACGATTTTGCTAAATTCGTCATATGCATATTCAAAATAACATTATCTTTTCCTTAATCCATTCTTTTACCAATTTCATTTTTTATAATTGCGAAATCTAATTTATTTTTATTTTATTTTTATTTTATTTCATTTCAAATAAGCCCTTTAATGTATTTATGATGCAATTGATGCATACACAGATGATTAAGGTGCGTGGTCAACTAATTAAATCAAAACTACATATGGACCCATATAAAAATTACTATTAAAGATTTTTTTATTCAATAATACAAATTAGTGGTATTACCTGTTAAAACTTAATTAACATTCAAAGAATATAAAAATTTAAATAAATACCCAATAACTTGAAAAATGATACAACAGTCTCGCTTTTTTGAAAAACGCTAAAAAAAAAAATTTTTTTTTTTCCTTATGCAGTTACGTCCAAAAGTATTATTTTATTTACTTTTTAAACACAAACGATCTTTTTGGAAACAAACAGACTGTCACATAAACGATGTATCTGATCTTAGTATAGCATGATTTTGTAAAATAGTATGTAGTTTGCGTTTTTTGTTAGTACGTATGATTTTAAATCGTACGTACTACTTTGATTCAGTGTTCAGCAAATGACTTGAAATGAACAAATGACTCAAATGACAAGTCATTTGTCATTTGTCATTTGCAACTCAAATGACCTGTCATTTAAGTCATTTGAAAAATATTAAATATTCTGAGAATTTTTATTAATTATTTTGTTTATTTTAATTAAGAAAACAAAAATATTAAAACAAAATTGGTTTAATATATATAATCAAAAAAGTTCCAATAGTAGTAAAGATTTTTTAATCACGTGATTTTGTTATTATTTTACAGGTTATTATTTGTTAATAATATTATTATAGACAGGATTATTTCACTTATAATTATTTCACTAATGATCATTTTATCCACACAGATAAAAGTTAATTGATTTTGCAATAAAATATTTAATTGTAACACATGTAGTGGATCCCATTTTTCACCATTTTTATATATAATTGTTGTCTTTATTTAATCATAAGATGGCCATAATATTTATTTATGCATATAATTATATAATAAAATTATATATAATAAATAACATATCAGATATTATCACTTTAATAATTATGGTTGTGTTATTTATTATTTTCAGATTACAGTAAAAAATAAATAATTCGGTGAAATTTTTTCTGTTTGTGATTATTTTGATTACGTCCTTCCTTTTTTGTACATCACGTGATTATAAATTGTCCAATAATCTTTAAATATTTTAATGACAAATGACCAAATGACAAAGGACGCAAATGACAGTCAAATGATACCCAATCATTTGGCATTTATCATTTCGCGAATAATTCAAATGCTAAATGCCAAATGATAGGATGTCATTTGACCAAATGACTCCTAATCCGAAAAAATGTTCAAATGACCAGGTCATTTCTGAACACTGCTTTGATTGCTGAATATAGAAAAATCATACATACATACTTTTTTACCAGCCTCGCCATACACTTTTTCAATCCCTTGTAGTCTTATGCAATAGTGCTCGCTCATTCTTTAAAATATGAAAATAAAAATCTAAATAAATATTTTTATCCCTACGAAAAAAAAATGTCCAGAATTTGTTGCCAAAATTGTTCAGAAATTGTCCAGTATACCCATAAAATGTCTGGAAAATGTCCGAAATTATGAAAAAACATGGTGTCCGGAATTTTTTCAAGTCCGGAATTTGTCCAGACATGAAAAATTCAGGACAAATTTCGGATAAACAAAACTGGTCAAATTCTGGACACAAAAAATCCTGGACACATTTTCTGCTGGATAAAAAAAAACCAGACAAATTCTGATAGTTGGACAAGAAAAAATTCCAGACAAATTCTGGACAATAAAAAATCAAAAAATGTAAAAGGTAAAAAACTAGTATTTAAAACCTCTGTATGTGTACTAAGTAAACTTAAAGAGCAAGCAAAAATACTATCTGTGATGTTATAAAGGAATATATCATTGATATTATGACTTGCCGATCATTTTAGAGAAAATCGGAAAAATTCCAAATCTGGACAAATTTCGGACAAAAATCAATGACCGGAAAATGTTCCAGATGTTTTCAGGACACTCATTTTGTCCAGAATTTGTATAATTATATTCTGGATAATTTCAGAATATTTTCCGGACGCATTTTTTCGTAGGGTATTTGTTATACACTTATACTAGCATGTCATTATTTATGTGCATTTATCTTTAAATAAATTTATTGTAAATACAATCATATTTAAGCTTTTTCATGTTCTTTATTAAATTTTAAATTTTTAAATTTTTTTAATTTTCTCATAGAACTTAAGTGAAAAATATCTGCAAAATACTAAATTACCTATAAATAAACTATATAGGATTTCTTGCCTACATTATAATTCTAATCTTTTTTCTTTATTAAATTAGCCAATTCTAAAGCTTCAATAATTTCCTTTACATCTGAGAGAACTATTTCCATTTTATTAATTATTTAATATTTTAATTGATATAATTATTTTAATTAATGTGAAATTTATTTATAAAATATTTATGAAGAATTTTTTTTATTTAAAAAAAAAATTTCGAATTGATAAAAAAATTAGGGAAAGAATAATTATATTTTTCGTATTTAATATATTGTGTAATTGTTTTCTGTGTAACCGTTGATTGAACTTCGAATTATCTAATAAAAAATTTAAATCATACTATCATACATACATAATATTATATATGATAAAGTGGGATCCGTACAAAATCCCGAATGTCAAAATCCTGAATGGTACGAAATCCCAAAAAATTGGCCAGCATTAAGCATAATGCTGCCTGGTTCGGGATTTTCGGGATTTTGACATTCAGGATTTTGTACCAGACCCGATAAAGTATATACTGTATGTACAGTACCATAAAAATCATACATACAAAGTAAAAATTCCACAAACATACTAACTTAAAAAATCATACTATACTAATATTATATATACTCCACATAAAAGAGTCGATAATTTCAGGTAGAATACTTGTAGAATTTTGAATGTAAATAATTGGAAGAATTTAATGTTACAGAAGTATGAAAAACATAGGAATTTATTATAAAATGTAATTAATCAATAGTTTAATCAGAAAGTCTTTAATAGTAAATTTTTATATGGGTCCATATAGTTTTGTTGACCGCGCAACCTGCAACATATTTCTAAGCGTATAATTAGAAAAGAAAATGATTCTATAGCTAATCTAATGTCATACTGCATTGATTCAATTTTGACTTGGCCTAACTATAAACCACAATAGTGTAGTATTTACAGCCAATTTACAACTTACGTTAATAATATTACAACCGCCAAAGGTTGTAATTCGATATATAATAATCGTTACTTACGGCAACCAACCTTATTTGACATAATCCAAATAACATTATATTTATTTTCGTACTATTAAAACTCAATTCTTTAAACCATGATCTAATGAACCTTCGATCGGTATGTAATTCCATCTTAACGCATACTCATTGACCAACAGATTACTTGTTATGATTACCACTTCTTCGATCGTCTCTTTACAACTAACAAGTTCTTTCTTTATCGCAGGTATTTTCACATCTTGTATTATCCTTTGCATCCCAGCTTTATCATCTTTAACTAACATTTTTACATTTTTTAATTCTAATAGCGTGTTAATAAAACTTAAATAAATATACTGTTTATCATCTAATTCTCTCTGCACACTTCCTATTTTACTGTAACTAAATAACCATGCAATAATATCCACATCTGTTCTTAATTCTATTTTTATATTGCATGGTAATATAATTATTACGATAATTGGTGCAATCACATATACTTTCCGTTCACTTTTAACAGATCTTAATTTTCCTTCAAAACTAAATTTATCAACATCACTGTTTTTCAGAATTAACTCAAATCCAAAGAACCCGTATAAACTCAATTCATTTCCTTTTTGAATCACTGCTCCCATGTTTACGATTACTTCTTTACCTGTCTTTTTTGTATAAAGTCACTCAATTTGTTCACCGCATCATTGTCTTCTAATATATAATTTAACCACATCATACTATTCTCTATATTGTCTAACTTATTGTTATCAATCCACATAACATTAGCATCCACTTCTCGCATTTCTTTTATGTTCGCCTTTATCGCTAACTCATTTTATTTTCTGACGTCATGAATGGCTTCATTATATTCTCGTCTCCACTATTCTTAATTTTTCTCCCCTTTATCATTGTCGCTATCTCTTTTTCAATATATACTAAACACTTCCCTGTACTACGTTTTCTACTATTATCATATACACATCCTTTACAATCCACCAAAAACGGTGAATTAGTTTTTCATTCACATCTCCAAATCTTTATGTACAATTACCACTTCATCATAATTTTTACTTTTCGATCTTTTTGTTTTAATACTAAATATATTATCCTCCCCTTTTTTCCACATCACCATCTCTTTATTGCTTTCTTTCCTCGTACTTGGTGGTAACACTTTTCTTAGCGTAATTTCTCCTTCGTTATATTTTTTCAAAATCACGTAATTATTTTTGATAGACTTATTGTCCTTTTCGTATCCATCACTTTTTCACTCAATTTTTTGTACCATAATGGTTCTAGCTCTGCAGATAAATTATTTTTTGCCAAAAATGTGACCATTTCATCATCCTATTTGTATACGGTTCAATCAATTGTTCCAAAAATAAAATCCCTCTGTTCTTCATTCTATCTCTATGCAACTTATTCATATTTGAATAATTCTTCTATTCGAATGTTATCCCCTTTAATTTTATGATTCGGAAACTGACCGTTTCTATCTTCATGATTACAAATCTTTAAAATTATTTTCGTTCAAAATTATCAAACTATCACCTACATGTGTACCTGTTGGAAACTTCTCACTTGCCGCTGTTTCTGCAAAACACAAAGCTGTCCAATACCTCCGTCCAATTTTCTCATCTGAATTTTGAAGATTTTATTTAATTCCTCATTACCGTTCGCTAAGTACAATATATTCTTGCTAATGCTTTTTAACTGAAGATCGTATATACTCTTTATCCCGTATAAATCTTTATCATATATAATACAATTGGGCAACAACTTTGGCATATTGCTTTTGTGTTTAATTAGCACATTAAGCGGCGACATCAATTTTTCAGCTTCCTTTTTCGAAAGTACTACACCCAAAAGTTGATATTCTATTGCAGGGATTAGCGTCACATTTCACAATCTGACTTGTTTGTCTGTTAAAATTTTCCGATTTGTAATCTTTACAAAACCTTTTATCATTTTTTCAATTTTCTCAACATGTATTCTCCTATTGTTCTTATGTGTAAAAAATACCCCTAAAAACCTATTTCCGTCTTATGCGTTGACTTTTTTAATTATTTTCTCATCTATTAATATATCTGTTTCTTTCTTATTATTATTAATTTAATTATCTCGTATTTATCTGGATTGGCTTTTATATCATTCATTTTATAAAAACTATGACAAATTTCTAAACGTTTCTGCTGCGCCTTCACTGCTTCACGTGAGTTACTTATCAATGTCGCATCATCCATATGTGCTATCGCAATAATACGAACTTTATCTTCAATTAATTCTTTTTTATTTATATCGTCTTTGTATTCCACTTCTATTTATAACCACTTTTTTTTAACTCATCCCATTTTTCTTTATAATTTTAGATTCTATCTTATCATTTCCTATTATTCATATGCCATCAGCAGTTACTTTTTACCAATAGGCGCAACTTCATCTCCAACATTAGCACCTACCCCGCTACCATGAGCTACTTCAGCAAAATCTACTATAACTTTATCATCATCTACATCGAGATCTACGTTGTTGCACTTAAATATAAATTCAATTGCAGAGAATATACTTGAAGAACGACCAAATGATGATAATATGAGCATTAATAATATTGAAACCTTTGAACAATGAATTCAATACACATGGACGAAAATTAATCAACCTGAAAACTTACAATCCAATCCTTGATGATATTACAAATACAACCTCATCATCAAAGGTTGAAGCTATGTCAACAGGACATGGAATTTAAGAGAGGCTGCACGCTTCAAATTTATGCCAACCAAATGGTAAATCAAATGATCAAGAAAAATAAAGGCCGAAGAAACATGAAGTAGGAGATTTAATGATCCAAAAATTGATGGTTCTGGTATAAATCATGCTATACTTCCATGTAAAATTAATAAAGATAACAGGAAATGATAAATATCTCTTAGGATCAAAATTTGGGATCATTAATTCATATTATTCACCTGCTGGAGAAATTTTAGCCATTTAGCGCTTGGTACAAATGTCTTTTCTTGAACTTAGCAATTTGAAAATTTCTGTCAGAGTTTACAGGGTGCTGAGGCGCTACTTGTAATTGCAAGTGAACGTAATAGCATGAAATGTAGTTGCAAAAAGATAGGAGGCTATTGTGGAAGGTGGTCGTCCATGTAAAAACAGCGTAAAAACTAGATAAAACTTTTGAGATAAAAAATTGTTCTTACTAAAACTTTATTTTTTAAGTGCAATACAAATACACAGTAATTAGTAAGTTGTTTGCAATAAAAAATAAAATATACCACTCAAATCTCTTTTCTAAAAAGTTCTGAACGTTAATCAAAGTCTCCAAAATTGAAATTTACAAACAAAGAAAAGAAAATATCAGTAATGTTCTTAAATAATAAAATACAAAAATTTAACACTAACACCTTCAAAAATACCTTTTTCAAGAGTCCTGAACGTTAATTTCAAGCTTTTGAAACTTAAATTTACAAAAACAAAGTAAATGCTAAAAAGTGTCAGTTGTAAAAATAAAAATTTTTTAAAAAAAAAGACGCATGTCAGATGATCATTGTAACTATATGTAAGTCGTGTAAATCGACACCTGACTGGCACTGATTGGCATAGTGCCTTTATCTTTATTAAATTTATTAGAAATATTTACAATTAAAACAAATTACAATAAAGGAAATAATAAAAAATAAACTAACTAAAAATAAAGTTATATAGTCTCCTAAAAAGTGATTAAAGTAAAAATTGGCTAGCCTGATTGATTATATCGTGAATAATGACATTTATGAAAAAAATTTTAATTCAGCCGGAAAAAAGGACTTTATTTATAAATCTTTATTTTCAAAATTTATTCAGACGCTTCCAACACAGTTAACATTCCAGTTAATGAGGAAAATTTTTATTGATTTTATTCAAATATTATTTCAAATGTATAATGTATTCTCTTTTTTATAATAATTTCATAATCGCAAGTTTTTTTTGGTTGGCAAAAATGAGCCAACGATACTATATACAAATGCCACTATCATTTAAAAGTATGTAAATAATACCAATTTGCTGACTCCAACCCTAATCCCACAATCTCATCATGTTAAGGATTTGACATGCTGCTGTATTCATTTATATTTTGAAGCTATTTAATTGTAGCGTTTATTTTTTGATTTTTATAGAATTTGTCACACGCGTCACATTAGAACTTAATAGGGTCTATATACGAAATTACCTCCCTCCATACCAAAATCGTTACTCCATACAGTAACGTTGTAGTACTTTTTCCTACTACCTTAAAATTAGCTATATATTGTAAGTTCCACTTTTGCAAACTATTATCTGTATTATTAACCTATTAACCTGATTATTCATTAAACCATTTTTTAATTTTTCTAATGTAAAAATTATAACATAACAAAAGTGGATCTTGGCTTATTAGATTTCATTGTGAACTTAAAATATGCATCTTTCTTAATGGATTAAAGCTAAAATATACATAATATAATAAAATTTTCTCGATATTGATTAATTATTGATCATGTGATGTGATCGTAAACTGCAAAATTCACTTTAACAGTTATCAAGTACTTGTTTTGATATATTCTTTAACAAATTCGGTAACATCAAACCATTCAAGACGCTTATGCAATATGCCATGTTCGAGTTGCACGTTATCCATATTAATTGAAACTTTTACAGGAACTTCCCAATTGAATCCATCCATATATTCACGATCCTTATGGATTTCATTCTTTTGTGATCTCTTTACAAGTAAATTAGATTAAGAGCAATTTATCGTTAAAATATAAATATCATTCAAGTGTAGAATAAATTATTAATAAACTTAAAACTTACATATAGTAATATCTATACCCTTTAGTTATAATTTCAATTATCTGTTTAGCTCTTTCTTTGGTGTACTGATAACAGAATAATTTTATTGGTAGATCGTAAATAAAGTGTATAATAAGAATGTAGCTTTAAATTTAAAGTGTATACTATATAATAAATACGTTTATTAACAATTGAACATAAATAAAACTTAATAATAAATGCTAAAAAATAAAATATATCGAAAAGAAACAATAGAAACATGAAGCAATATTGCGATCTGCAATTTAACTTAAAACTAAAAACTATAATAAAACTATACAAAAAGCTCTCTCTATTTCCCTTCGTCCGCAGTAGTCACTGTATACAATTAATTTTATAAGCAATATATAAAATTAGGAACAAAAAGTGTACGGTTGATCTATGCAGAGTGACAATGGATTGGCAACGTACATACAGTAGTTATGTTGTGACTTGTGACTTTGTCTACCACATCATTTGTTAATCGGGCTTTTTTTGCTCAAAAAAAAAAAAAATAACTGAAATAAACTCCACTACTAGATAAAATGACTTCGGTAAAAGAATGGGTTGAGGAAAAGATAAAAAATAAATATATCCAATATTTTGAATATGATGAATTTAGTCAAATCGTTGAAATTGATAGAGGAGGTTTCGGTAAAGTGAGTAAAGCAAATTTGGCTAATACGGGATTGGTCGCATTAAAAATTATTTTTAGTAAAAATTCAAATATTGGAGAATATGAACTTATTAAGGCTAATTATGAGCTTGTCAAGGAGGTAGGAATCGCTTTTTTTATGTTGTACAGTATATTAGCTTTATATTCATTAAAATAAGGATTAATTTTGTTCTATCATTTTATTTTTTAGTTAGAACTCCTTCGCGAGATCGATTATCGTCAAAACATCAATCGTATTCTGGGAATAACAAAAGGTTTATGTTAAGATTTTTTTTAAATAATTTATTTATACAGTCCAGCCTAACCTATTTATATTTCAATTTAATAGATTCTGAGTATTATATATTGGTGTTGGAATATGCCAATGAAGGAAATTTAAGAGATTATTTGAAAAAAAAATTTACTTCCTTGAAATGGAATGATAAAATTCAAATGGCATTGGATATTACTAATGGATTGAAATTTTTACATTCCAAAGATATTATCCATAGAGACTTGGTTGGTAAAGGAGTTTATAATTTTTTGTTCGTGATTATATTTCGATGGTTAATTTAATAATTACTGTCAATTATTTTGTAGCACTCACACAACATATTAGTGAATAATGGAAAATTATTAATTGCAGACTTTGGATCATTTAAAAAGTTGACAGAAGTCACGACCAGTAAAAACTGGATGGTAGAATATATTGATCCACAACGTTTTAGGCATGTCGACTATAAAATAAATATAAAGTCCGATATCTATAGTTTAGGTGTTTTATTATGGGAAATTTCAAGTGGACGTCCTCCTTTTTCTAACTGTTCGCAAGACACACGAAATAAACTTTATCATCTCATTAAAGATGGTCATAGAGAAGAATCAATCAAGGGTACACCTCTAAAGTATCAAAGACTTTATCATGAATGTTGGGATGGCGAACCAAAATCAAGACCCGATATCGAAGAAGTACATGAAATTTTATGTCAATTAAATACAGGTACAAAATAATTTAATGTAAACAATGAATTTAACGAAAAACTAATAAATATAAATTAAATATAGAAAAGCTCGGACCGGAAAAAAATTGGTATACGGACTGGTTAGAAAAATCAATTGCCGAAGAATTTATCACATATTACGAATATTCGGAATTTAAAAATCCACAAACAATAGGGAAAGGTTCATTTGGAAATGTCACTCGTGCTAATTGGAAAAATACTGATAAATATTTTGCATTGAAAAGTTTCAATGATGATAAAACAACACTAAAGGAAATCATTAATGAGGTACAAAATTATATATAATAGTTTAAAAATGTTTCAATGATTTTTATCTAATAAATTCTTTGCAGATAAAATTGCAAAAGAAAGTTGATTTTCATGAAAATATTTTACGATTCTATGGGATCACAATAACAAAAAAAGCTGGTAAATCTACATATAATTACATTATTTCTGTCTTGTTTTTAAAGAAAATATATTTAATGTTTTTTTTAATACTACATTTAAATATAATTCAAGAATACGCATTGGTTTTGGAATATGCTGATAGTGGTACACTAAAGACTTATTTACAGCATCACTTTAATGAACTTGGATGGGATGATAAATACCAGTTTGCATTGCAACTAGCAAGTGCGGTAGCGTGTATACATGAATGTGATATTATTCATTGTGATTTGGTAATGAGTCAAATTTTATGATTTTTAATATTAATTTTAGCTGATTAGTAATAAAGTTTTTGCATTTAATTAAAACAGCATGCTGACAATGTATTTGTACATGAGAAAAAGTTAAAACTGGCAGACTTTGGTTTATCAAGGAAAATTGCAGCATCAAGTAATCTAAAAGTATTTGGAGTGATACCTTATATCGATCCAAAAAGGTTAAGCGATCAGCAAAATTATAAATTAAATAAGAAGTCTGATGTATATAGTGTTGGTGTTCTAATGTGGCAAATTTCAAGTGGATATCATCCATATCCATCATATGATAATAATTATGACGTAAGTTTAGCCATATCAATAATAAATGGAAGAAGAGAAGAAGTTATTGAGGGGACCCCTGCTGAATATAGTAAATTATATACAAGTAATAATTAATTCTATTATTTAATTATTTTTAATTAATGATAAAATTAAATTTTATTGATTTATTTATTAGAATGTTGGAAATATGAACCAGATGAACGTCCAAATATGCAAGATGTCGTTTTAATTCTTAAAGCCTTAATCTCTCCTGAACAAAATGATACAAAATTTGATGACATTTATAAAGAAGAAAATATCTTATTAGAAAAATATAAATCAAGCTCAAAATCGAGTGAAGGAATAGAAGATATAAATAAGAGTTTATCAGTAGGTTCAGTGGATTTTGCCACATTAAATAATATAGAATCTGGAAGCAATTCAAGTATGCAATATCAAGTATCTGTTGCTCGATCGAATTTTTTTGAAAAAAAAAGTAGTTATAAATTATATTAATTTAATTTACAGAAGAATGCTGGGATGGCGAATCAAAATCAAGATCTGATGTTGAAGTAGTACATGAAATTTCAAGTCGATTAAATATTGAGGATTCACAATCTTCACAATTTAATTTACCAAATATTGATAACAATGACAACTTAACTATTTCTTCAGATTATCAAAATTCAAATTTAATAAGTAAGTGTGATATATTAATTATGTTGATTAGCATCAGAATGAATTTATTAATAATCTGCTACTGATATTAATCAGGTTTATCTTCAGACACTTCCAAGAATTTATTTAGCCATTCTCTCAGTAAATCAAAATTAAGAGATCAAGATTGGATTAATGAAGAATATTCAAATAAAGAAGTTATGGATATTATTGAAGGTGAAAAGTTAAAACTTAAAGGTCCTTTGAAAATAAAAGACTTTATGAAGTTAAAAAGTATTAGTTTAGAGAAATGTGAGTTAACCAGTTTGGAAATTAGTGGTTGTTCTCAGCTTATTAAGATTGACTTATCAGAGCTTTTCAAACTTACAAGTTTATCCATAACTAAATGTTCGGAACTAATCACATTAAATTGCTCATCAAATGAGTTAACCAGTTTGGAAATAAGTAATTGTTATCATCTTAATAAGATTGACTTGTCAAAACTTCCTAAACTCACAAATCTATCTGTAACTGAATGTCAAAAACTGACCAAGCTTGACTGTTCTAATAGTAAATTAACTGAGTTGGAAGTTAGTGATCTTATTGAGCTCAACTGTTCAAATACTTCAATTGAGGAATTAAATCTTAATTTTTGTCCAAATATTAAAAAACTCATTTGTTCTAACAATGAAAAACTAATTAATTTAGATGTAAGCATTTGTTCACAATTAGACTTTCTTGATTGTACCAGCAGTAAATTAACTATTCTTGACCTAAGTATTTGCTCCAAATCTATTATGGTTAAACCTCCTAATATGGATATTATCCAAGAAAAAGAAAAAATTAAGAATATAGTGATAGTTGGCTGCACTGATGTTGGTAAATCTACATTAGCCAATATAATAACTGGCTCTGATTATTTCAGTAAAAGTGCATACACAGCTAGTAAGACTATAAATTTCAAGAAAAAACATTTTAAATGGAATGGAAAATATTTTTGTATAGTTGATGCTATTGGACCTAAGCTAACTACAGGAAATACTTTACTTAAATCAGTAGAAGAAATCTTTTCTATGCTAGAAGGGATAAGCCAAATTTTATTTGTGATTGATGGAAGATTCACAACAGAAGAAATAAAAATATTCAACTTACTCAAAGGTCTTATTATCAATATTTTTGAAATTAACATTCTTGAATATGTTACTATTGTGAGAACTAAGTTCAGTAATTTTAAGAAAAAAAAGGAATGCGAAGCAGATAAGAATCAATTGCATAATGAAAATGAGAGTATTAGTGAAATAGTTAAATCATGTAGAGATGTTATTCATGTAGACAATCCTTCAGTAAATATTCAAATTACTGATGATGATGATCAATATACAGTTAATATTAATAAAAAAATAAGAGAAAGGTCAAGAAAGATAATGTTGGACTATTTAGATGAAGCATGTCAGGTAGATTACTTTAAATTAAAATCATGGGATGAGACACATAAACTGGTTGCTGAATATATAGAAAGTAATTGTAAGAATTTATCAGAATTAGAATAGAATCAGAAACTTATTAAATAACTTGATTTATCACAATTAATTAAAAAATAAACTGGATTCATCAAAATTATTAAATCAAATCCATATATATGTATAATACAATGATGTTTTAATTTGTTGTAAATAAGGTAATACAGAGATTTAACAATTTGTACAATTTGTTATTTGTGTAATTTTACAATATTACATTTATTATAAAATTAAATTAATTAAATAATAAATAAAAAATTTTTATCACTGAAAATATATTAATAATGACCTTTAAAAATTTCATTATTATATTATACACTATATAATGAATAAGAAGAAATTTAATAAAAAATGTAGAGTATTGCTAAATCTCACCGGTAGTAATTTTTACCATTATTAATGTTGGCAGAAATTATGATTTAGCCAGAATTATAAAAAATTTTTTTGCAAATTTTTACCAAGAAAAAAATTAAATATAAGTAGTTTTTTTTAAATATTAAACATGTTTTACTTAATAAAAAAACTTAATTTATTTGACCAAAGTAGGGAAATTACACTTTAAATTTAATAGACAGAAAAAAAAAATTCAGAAGTTAATATGGTGGTCGTCACTTATAAACAACAATATTAATAATAGTCCAAAATTTAAAATTTTATTTATTTATATTGTGTAACTTATTTTTAAAGTACTTTGCTAAAATATAATAATTGCTGCAAAATTTTTTTTGCTATATTACATGGAATTCTTGTGGATTTCCATGGAATTTTTGTAAAATCCATAAAAATTATATAAAAACTAGTCCGAAATTTTATGTTTTTATTATGGTTACTTATTAAAATTATCTAACTTTAACCCATAATATTAATTAAAATTCTTATTAAAATATATAAAATAACCTGATAGAAATGTTCAGTACATGTTGTTCTATCATTTTATCAGTTTAGTTTTTTCTTTTTACTATTCAATTTACAATTTATAAAAATTTGAAGTCACATAATATTAGTGTGGTTTATAGGTGACGGCCACCATACCATTATGAAAAATGCAATTTTTTCCAAAAGTATTACATTTACACCTATGAAATTTGATACACAACTAGTTTTGATCTTGCTGAACAATGATTTCATTTGTGAAATTATGCTCTGAAATTAACAAACAAAAAAGAAAAATTCAAAAGTTAGTATCATTATGAAAAATATGATTTTCTTCACACATATTACACTTACATTCATGAAATTTGATATACAACTAGTTTCGACCTCGCTGAACAACTTTCACTTAACAAAGAAAGACGATTTCATTTGACTAAAGTGGTGAAATTACGCTCTGAAGTTCACAAACAGAAAAAAAATTCAAAAGTTAGTACTGTTATGAAACTTGTGATTTTCTCTACAAGTATTAAACTTACACTTATGAAATTTGATATACAACTAGTTTCAATCTCGCTAAACAACTTTTACTTAATAAAGAAAGCTGATTTCATTTGACTAAAGTAGTGAAATTACGCTCTGAAGTTCACAAATAGAAAAAAATTTTTGAAAGTTAGTACCGTTATGAAAAATGTGATTTTCTCCACAAGTATTAAACTTACACTCATGAAATTTGATATACAACTAGTTTCAATCTCGCTAAACAACTTTCACTTAATAAAGAAAGCTGATTTCATTTGACTAAAGTGTTGAAATTACGCTTTGAAGTTAGTAAACAGAAAAATAAATATTTAAATGTGTTTTTTTCCATAAATATTATATCTAACTTTATGAAATTGAAATATACTTCTATGGGTTTAATAGTGTAACAAAAGTAATATTTTTTGTATTAAAAACACATAAAATATTAAAAGAAAAGCAAAGCAAGTAAAGCAAAAACAAATTTCATAAATATGATAGTAAATATATATTATGTTATGTAATATAAGTAATCACATGATCATGACCGGTGAAAATCACCACCAGTGAGTAAGGTTGCTTGCTGAAACCTAGGGGTTTAGGCAAGATGGCATTTTGCCAAAAAGTGAAATTCTGCCGAAACTATATTAAAGTTATATTAAAAAACTGGCGAAACTTTGGAGAAAAGCGAAACTGCCAAAACTTATTATAAATGCCAAAACTGCCAAAACTCTGCCAAAACTATAATAAATCTATAGTAAAATTTTGATGAAACTAATCGTAGAATTTTGAAGAGGTTTAGACAAGTAACTTTACCAGTGAGAATTTGACAATTCCAAAAATGTATGCTACAATTAAGGCTGCTCTAATTTAATAGTTTGTTTAACATCCTAACTTTATATAAAAATTGAGGGGGAAAGGGGTCAAATTAAGTAAACATTTAAAAATGAACATAGTTTTTTCTTTATCATTCAATGCATTTTTACTAAAAATACATCTTGGTTTATTACAGATAATGCAATTAATAAGTTTACATATATTACTTTTATTACTAATTATACCACTCTTTGGTAGATTCAAATGCACTGGAAAGAAATTCTTTTAAATATTATACAGATCGGTGATGTTATTATAAGTTGCATGATATAACATATGTTTGTTTATTTTTAAAAAATTTTCAAAAATGAAGGGATGGGATACGTTAAACAAACTATTAAATTGGAGTGGCCTAAGGTTACTGGAGAAACTAGAGGGTTTTGGCAAGTTGGTGAAATGCTGAAATGGTGAAACTTTGCCGAAATTATATAAAAGTCTTATTAAAAAGTTGGCGAAATTCTAGAGAAAAGCGAAACCTGACGAAACTTATTATAAATGCTGAAACTGCCAAAACCTTGCCAAAACTATAATAAAACTATAGTAAAATTTTGGAGAAACTAATTGTAGAATTTTGGAGAGGTTTAAGCAGGCAACCTTAGCCACAATATTTTAAATTTTTACAGCAAAACTTCATTTTTTTTCTAAATTTTTTAAAATTTTCAGGCTAAATAATGCAAAATCAAAATTTGATACTTTAAAATATATTGCACAGCAGCTATATATTCTAATATATACTGTATTTGTATATATATTTCAAATTATTAAGTAAAAATAGGGTTTTTATTAGTTTATCATATATATGTGAATTAACAATTAATTCAATTTATAATTTCCTTTTTTTAACATTTAATAACTAATAATTTTAAAAATAATGATGGTATCTTATTAAAATAAAGAAATTTAACTTGTTTTTCAACTAAATAGATTTTAAAATAGTTATATAGTACTTAATAACCAATGTTTATAGAGAAATATTTCAACTATTTTAAAAATGGCAATAAATCAATAATCTATACAATATTCACTTAACACAAGAAAACATAAGACTTGATTTATGACAATTTAAAATAATTTTATCGTTGTATTATATACTGTAATTTCATGATGCAATGTATACTAATACTTTTTCTCAATCTCTTTATAATAATCAGTACATCTAAATATATATTACTATAAAGTTGGCACAAGTAAAAAGATTTAATTTGAACTCTTGCGGTTTATTTTGCCAAAATTTGATTATTTTGCCCATTAATCAGGTGGCATTTATATTTTTCATTAGTATTAACTATTAAGGTCTGACAGAACCGTTTACTTATAAATAGGTTACCTCCAGGCCTAAGGTAAAAATTATATATAAAATTCTTTGCAAATCCTACTATAAAAGGAAATTTTATATTACATTATTATGATTTTTTTCCTTTTTAGCTAATTAACCAATAGAATTTAAGAAAAAAAGTAAGGTAAAAATAAACTATTAGTAAAGGATTAATGTCCTGGTCTGACTGTCTGCTAATCTGATAATAGACAGTGATTACAATATGATATACAGTAACTTTGCTAAAAATGATGCTTTTTTTGATATGTATTTTTAATATTTCTGCAATACTTTGGTAATATTTATGTATTATTTTGTAATAATAAATTATAACTGTAATATTTTTGTAATGTATTTTGAAATAGTTTGCAAATAGATTATAAATAATAACAAAAATATTGCAAAAATAAGTATGTTAAAATTAATTTGATATATTGTGCAATGCAGCCAATGCTTAGTGACTCAGTTATTTATATATTTTGCAATACTTTCTATTTATATTAAATTAAGAATTTCTTGCATATTACGTGATTAATTAAAATTAATAATATAGCTTGGCGTGATGTACAGATCTTATTTTTTAAGCTTTTTTTAACTTTATCACTATTATTTTATTTCATTCTTTTCCTTTATCTCATTCTTTCCCTCTCCCTTTGCTTCATTCTTCTTCCTAACCTTTTCTCCCGTACTTTCTATTAAAAATATTCTTTAATGAAACCTTTTTAATTTATTAACATTCCAATTTTTCATGGTTCTTTTTGTCTTCCTGAACATGACATTCTGGCAAGTTTTCATTTTTTTTTAATTTTATTTTAGTTGTTTTATTTTAATAAATAGCTTCTCATTAATTTTTTTTTTTTAGACAACTAGAATTTTGGTCTTTTAGCTAATTTACAGGATTTTGGTAGGAATTTTATTTCCATTCTGAATTTTCTTTTAACAAAATATCTACTAATATTTCAATTTTACTTTTTTAGGTATTTTTCTTACGATCTTTTTTTTTAACAAAAGTTTCACATTTACTTGGAAATTTGGATTAAGTTAAAAATTTCTATTGATAATTAGATATTATTTTGCGATTTTGTATGTATTTTTTTATTGAAGCTAAATAAATATATATACTATTTTTATACAAATTAGATGAATTATTTTTTAAAACGTAATACTAATATTTTGATTTTCTCTTTTTTTCAGACGACTTGATTCTTCTTAAATATATGGAAATTTAGTAGAAAAATAGGACCCTGGACATCACATATATAACTCACATTTGAGTTTTAGCAAATTCAATCAAAATTAGGTTAAAATCATAATTTTAAAAAAAGCAAATTGATTGAAAATTAATTAATAGTCATAATTATGAGTTTTAGCAAATTGTATTGATTTTACAAAGTCATATTTTATATTTGAGCAAATTGGTACTTTTTTTTAAATTTAACTTATCCTTAGTTTGCTTTTAACTTTATAAATAATATTTTTAAAAATATTAGTTTCGGGGTCCAGGTCATATTTTGGCCAAAATTAAGTATAATTCCGGCCAAAATTAAGCATAATGCGGGCCAAAACCCGTCCGTTTAGTTTCGCAACATTTTATTTTTTAATAATTA